GACCTTAAATTCGACTGTGTTTACATGTAAAACTATTCCAAGAAGTCACTTACCTGGTACGCTCGAAATGTAACGATCATTTAACTGTAAATTGCACTCAAAATGTGGTCACCTACAGTCCGTGGTGTTCGCCATTAAAAAACCGAGGTCATGTGACCACGTTTTTCTTTTTATCAACAGGGATTTGTATGGAAACAGTAGCATATCTGGAAGCTGACGTTTATTTCGTGTTTCCTGTAGTTAGATAGTAAGTTGTGCAGAATGATGTCACACTTAAGTATCATTTATCTCAAGTTTGTTTCAGTCTTGAACGGGATACAAAAATAGCTGACCTGTAACAGTACACGTCTAAAAATAGCTCAGAAGTTTAATAATAATATTGAAATCGAACACAAACTAAAAATTGATTCTTCACGTCCCTGTATTTCCGGATTATGATTTCATTAAAATAACATTACTAAATCTCACAGGAATTTATATTCATACTTGAATTGTGAAATAAATAGAGAGTGTTAGTGACATAAATACTGATGAATCAATTACAGGTTAATATAAGTAATTATTACAGATCACCTCCAACTGATATTCAGCACCTGTAACTCATATTCAGCACACATTATACATAAAATTTGTGCTAAGAATTCTGCTGGTGGATAACAAGCCAAAGTATCACACCAACATTGACGTTTGTGGTGCCTCACCAACTCAGCAGGGAATTTCAAGACAGATTAGGACAGTTACAAATGTTAGAATCTATATAAAATTGTAGAGTCCTTTTAATATCATATTTTAGGAAGTTGGACTAAACCAGCCTTGCTATGTTGTAAACCTTTTTCTCCAAATGAACTGCTGAAGAATTTTCATTTTGAACATGCTAACTTTGTGGCAATTTCTATCTAATTTTGATATTTTTTTAGTTAACACCGAAAATATCACTGTATACTACTTTCAGGAAAAAATCTTTCTATATCAATGGTATTTAGAACCTGAGTTATTTTCTGTTTGACACATAATTTCTATGGTAAATCGTTTCAACTTATTTGTATTATTTTTGTTACAAAAGGAGCTTCACATCTCTCAGACCAGTTTATGCTGCATCAGCATGTGTACACTAACTTAAGCCAAGAAGTCAATGGTGCACAGGTAGATAATAAGAATAGATAACATGCTGGAAATGCTGGAAGTAGACGAAAAAGACAGAATGAGTCTTGCATTGATTGGAAATCCTTACAAGCTTTACCATCAATCCTCGGTGGGTAAGGATCTGGGAATTTGGTGGTTAAAAATCAAAATTAAAAACATCTAGAGGAGACACATTCCGATGCAAAAACACTCTGCTGGGGGGTTTACTTGGTTTATCGCAGTGAAGAACCAGGGTCATTCCGAGTCTCCTTTTAGTAGTTGGTGACTAACTCACTGAACAACATACCAAAGGCCCATTACATGCATCCAGAGCATTAGGGTACCAAACGGCAACTACATCAGCAAAGACCAGTCCGTTGCTCAGCTTCTTGATCAACACCATCCACCACGACTTATCACAATTATCACCTAAGCTAATGCTCTATCAAGAGTTATCTTGGCTCCCTCAGCACTAGGAGTGCACCAGAATACTATCAGCAGAGCAACCCACAACCCCATTGTATACCATTGAGGAATGAACATGAAAAGTGACCTTGGATGTGATGAAAGGGCAATTAAGCATCAGCACGAGGACTCGGTTGTATCTTATACAAGGTCCAAAGCTCCTTAAGATAAATGTGGAGACTCTTTCAAGTGATATGGAGGAAGGGCCAAAAAACTAAGTCTGGCTGCAGAGAGCTGGGGTAATATTTGTGCCACAGCAGAAAAAACTTGTTGAACATCAACCAGTTCAGGACAATGTGTAATGTTGGAAATGAAACAATAGATTCATCTGTACAGAAGGAAGCGATACCCGATTTCCGAGGATGCAATGGGCAATACCACTCAACTTATCAATGAAGCCAAAATTAATCATAATGACCTTATTTGGCTTGACCTCACCAATGCCAATGGACCTGTACCAAACCAGCTGATAACCAAACACTCCCGACACAAGCATGTCTCTGACCGCATCCTAGGGTTTATCGAGCTATGACTGTAACATCAAACTCAGATTTACAGTTGGAAAAATCATAACATGACAAGCACTGGAAAAGGGAATAATCACTGTATACATCATCTCTGCAATATTGTTGGTGATGGGATTGAGCTTAATCAGAAGAGCTACAGAACATCTAAACATGGTGGCTATAGACATGATGAAGCAGTTAGATGGGCAAGCATGCAACTCAAATGCTGTAAGTGAAGGATCATCAAACATCAAGAGACTGCAAGTCCAGAAAGGAATGAAGATAAACAAGACCAAGCAAGGAAATTAAGAAGATATTGCTAAAGACTTTCGCATGCACAGACACACAAAGTGATTACTACATACATACACATACCTCCTTAATTAAAGTGAGGGTAATAACTATCATTGAGGATAAATGTTCAAGTAGAGGCTTCAGTGACCCCATTATAGTATGAAACCAACAACATTCTCATGATGTACCCATTTCCCAAGTTTGATGCTAATCATGAAGTGGTGACCAAAATATGCGTTGGAAACCTGTATGTTCTTTTTAAGAATTTACAGTCAAGGTCAAGGTGATATACATATGTAACACAATGCCTCTCTGTGTTCTGGAAGCTATGGCAGCACAACGTAAGACTAAAAATATCATTATATCAACTTATAATTCTTCATATCCATGAAAAATGAATTCAACTTTCAGCTTTTGATTTTTATGTCATAGGAAAATGTAAGGGTTAAACTTCTTAAACAATGCTCACAGTGACAATTAGCCACTGTTATGGTCACCAATGTTACAAAGAAACAACAGGTTATTTACCTTGTGTAGCCACTGTTATGGTCACTCATATTACAAAGAAACAACAGGTTATTTACCTTGTGTAGCCACTGTTATGGTCACTCATATTACAAAGAAACACGTTATTTACCTTGTGTAGCCACTGTTATGGTCACTCATATTACAAAGAAACACGTTATTTACCTTGTGTAGCCACTGTTATGGTCACTCATATTACAAAGAAACACGTTATTTACCTTGTGTAGCCACTGTTATGGTCACCAATGTTACAAAGAAACACATTATTTACCTTGTGTAGCCACTGTTATGGTCACTCATATTACAAAGAAACAACACATTATTTATCTCAAGTTTTATTTTCAGATGGTTTCATAAAACAATTATTTTTCACTTAAAAATTTCTTCATGATGTGATGAATCGTTGTTAAAATCAGATTTGCTTCTCATTAGAAATCTCTCTTAATATTTTGAACATGTTTGTTCTATTTAAAACAATTCAGAAACATCAAATGCTTAGTTTATAGTTCCGATTGATGTTGGCACATTTACTTCAAATTTATAGGTGATGACAATGAAAAAATCTACATTTTTAGTGACGAGATTTCAAAGTAATAGAATTTACAGTTAATACATGAACACACACATCATTTACACAATATTTGTGACCCTGTAAAAACAAAATTGAGTGTCAATTGTAGGATTATTCTGACAATATAAAACCAAAATGGATTTGGCATAGGTAAACACAAATTTCCACAAGGCATGGCAAAGTTTTTAAAAAATTTTCTAAAAAATCACTGGTCACACTACAAGTTGTAAAAGTCTTTACTTGCTGGAAATGTTTAAACCATTTACACCATCATATAAAGATCTGTCATACTTTGAAATTAATATCAAGCATATTGTACATACAAATTATCCACAGATATATAGCATATCTTTAACTAATAAATACATGACATGATTAAATAAAAGTGATCCTAAAAAGACATTTTGGAGTTATCACAAAAATATACAAATATTTCACAGATCTGAGCATATATATACAACAAAGGTTACTAAATGTATTCCAAATATAACAAGATTTGCTAACAGAATTAGAACATACTATAATGTCTATTTGATACAAGGCTCACAGGGTTTATAACGTTTCAAATAAGGTGCATCATGTACTGACCTTATGAACTTTCCTCTGCAAGAAAATACCGTGTAAAATTTCGACTAGATGTTGATGTAAATGAATTGTCCACGGCATCATTCACAACCATTTATATACATATTTACAAGAGATATGACACAGCAGACATGAAATGACCCTGAACAATGCCAGTAATATCCTGGGTAACTACAACCAGTAGTACCTGTGGTGTGTACACTGACATGTCAGTCGATTTAGATATCCTGTCATTCAGCCTTGCTGCATATAGCTAACAGATAGAAAGTCCAGGAAAGGTAGAGAAGAAAACAAAATGGTGATGGTTTCTTTACAAAGTGAAAAAGAAAAGAAAATGTCAAAATCAGATATATTTGACTGAAATACATCATATCATTTGGAACGTTTACAAATTTGGCACATTCCTTATCTTGGTTTGTGACATTGAACCTGACAGTGAAACTACCTTGCCTTTCAAAAACACAAGTGAAGTAAGCAGGTCAGCCACATCTTTCAACTAAATCATTTGAAATAGCAGAAAATAAGTCCCCACTACCTTGAGTACTTGTACTGTTGATATTGTCAAAAAGACAAGATCATGCATAAATTGGATGTTCAAATGCATATGCTACACTTGAGACATGGATTGTATACACACAAACTATCTGTATCCATTACGTGTCTGTACCTGTATACAAAACACGAAACATGTACAAGTGCTAGCGATAGGGCTGCTGGGATGTTTAGTCAAGCTTTACACATCAGGATATTTGGTTTCCATGGAAAAATATATGGATTAATGTCATCTTCAAATCTTATGATTGTTTACAAAGTTTAGAAAAAATTAAAGATTGACAGTTCAAAGATGAAACTTCATCTTCAAGTGATTTCATAGTCATGAAATAAAATTTAATAACATTACCAGTATTCATTTAGAACTAAGAAGTGTTGAATTCGTTGTACATCTATTATGGACATTTGTACCTTCAATAATTCACTAAATACTATTCAAAGGTAATGCTTAATGTTTAAAAACTACACTTTATTAAAGCTTATATAATTTTATGCTCCATAAAAAGGTTGTAAATGTCAGTCGTAAAGGCTTCCCATTATTTAAGTCTTAGGAATCCAATATATACATGAGTTTAAACTTATATTTACATATGAAATACAGGTGATGAATATCATCATTCAAATGTTTGTTTGTGGTTGTCTGTCACTTTAAATATTGTACCTGACACTGCACAATGTGAAATCAGCCATCTTCAGAAGTGTAGAAAAATTCAGAATCAATTTTTCACGTTGATGATATGGAATGTGTACATATCCATCAACACTAATCAACTGTCAATTTTAAAAAGCAGTTCAGACCACTTTGTACAAAGATATAACTCCAGAACACATTACTAGCTAGTTTAACATCAGGAAATCTCAACTGTCAGGCACCATGCATGGAAAATTAGTTTAACATTGGAGAGGAAAAGAAATGGCTGGGTTTCTTGTTGATGGTTCGACTCTTGTTTGAAAATCTGAAAAATGATAAAACAGAAAATTTAAGAAAATATTAAAAGTATTACTGATTAATAACAATTTCTTTTGATGAACAAATATATGGTTTCTTGTGTGGTTTTTTGTTTTAAAAAAAACCCAAGGAAATCGCACAGAACATCTAAATATTGTAAAATAGTTACTTTACGTGGGAATTTACTTTCACTGATTTGAGGGTACTCTTAATCTGTAAATTTATATATAGATGAAGAGACAATAAACATTGACATTGTTTATGTGTTTCAATAAGAAAAGTTATTTGAATACAACATATCCTTTACAACCTCTAAGCTGGATTCTCTGCTGATTCAGACTGCTACAAACATTAAGAACAAGGTGAACACTAAACCATAATATTTACTACCTCACTCGAACAAAATAAGAAAAACAAATAAAAAACATAGTATGATTGATCATCATAACTTCATTTCTGTATTTATCTTGCAATAGGTCCAGTCTTGGAAATATGCCCACTGATACCTACTTCTTTTCAGAACAATAAGGATACACTAACACAATATTGCATTATTCTGTACAAAGCCAAGTCAAATTGTTTGCAAGTTTAACAACATTTTGCTGCAACCCCCCATCCACCCCCTCTCCGAGCTTCTCTTGACTTATTACAGGATCAATGCAGTACTAAACACAACATTCCTACAATCAATACGATTCCTATTACAAACAATAAACACTTTGTCATACAAGTAATGGCTATGTGGTGGTTACAGAGCCTACCTGTGGCCACCACCTCATCTCACAGACAGGTCTCACTCACAGACCTGCGTGGCATCACCAGCGGTGGCATGAGTTTGGGCTTCATCTTGGTGATTCTACAACAAACACAGCGTATCACAAACACATGTGACACCAAGGAACCTAGTGTCTCTCCGCCGGGTGGAAAACGCCCTCAAACCATTGTGATCATCTTTTCATTTATTTTCAAATACAATGAAATCAACAGGTTTTAATCCTTCAAGGCTTTGATTGATTCGACTGGAATTTAAAAACTTCCAACACTTTTAACTGTGATGTGTAGTTTGTGTTATTCTTACAGGCTGTCAACCAAGTCTTCTTAATATAGGAGGAATACAGGAATATTTTGGTTTTTTGCTAGTTTTGAGGCAAAATATAGGGGTTTTCCAAACGAAAATCATTTCATTCAAAGGCATTTATACTAAAAATTCCTACCTTCACTTACTGTTTCTATATTAATCAATGATTAAAAACTACCTTAAAGTAACCATTCATTTCAACAGCATCACAATCCAGGCAGAGAGCTGCTGCATAGTTCATCATCATCATCTGAAGGGACACCTAAAAGGCCAATATCCTGTCGTACTGCCTTGCAAGGTGCCCATACAGGCGATAAAGAGATGCACTGAATCATTTTCTGGTGGCTGGTGATGCTGTTGAAGACTTAAGAATTATCTAACCTGTAAAATAAAGAAGCCAAAAGTAGTATCAAAGAAATGTTTACAATCTCTTCATTTATCAGCAACAAATTTCCTGAAAAATATAGGAAATAATGGAGGTCTTTAAAAATAAAGGAAAATATAGGAATATAGGAATCGGTTGACAGCCTTTTATTATCATCTTATTGGTAAACAAATACAACAGTTGTCTGTGTTGGAAATATGTTAGAAATTGAAGCTTACATTTACAAGTGTTTGCGTCTGTAAACATATAATATCAAAATCATTTTTTTTAAATGTTGTAAATTTTACACACCCCAAAATTAATCCAAAATACACTAATAGATGCAAATTTACAAAAGATTGTTCTAAAAAATTAAAGATTTTACGGGAGTGAGATGAAAGGAACTGGACTTTATGCTATGTATTAATCAAAAATCGTTTCAATCATTTGCTTTTGAATTACATGTATTAAAAAGAAAAAATACACCTGAACAAAGCAGTATAGTACAAGTACAATTATGTTGATGTTGTTTGTTTGTTTTTTTTTTATTTGCTATCAAAGCCAACAAAGTGAAACAAATGAACAGAATAATAAATCTGCATGGCTAACAAATAGATAGCAGAATGAATTTAAATAACTCTAGCAGTATGAAGTTAATCACCAGCTCAAGTCTATTTAGTATAAACATATTGTACCAAGTAATGTTTTTCAGATGTCAGAATTAACTGTCATACATGTTTTGTTGTATTGTAACAGCTAAGTAATCAGTAACATTTTTTAGTATCATACTTTGGTTAATCAGGAATTAGCATACGAAAGGCAAACTTTTACTGCAATAGGCCATCAAAATACATGTCATGCAATAGTATTACCCAATACAGGGTTCCTGTTTACCAGATATACTATTTAATCAATAAATGGTAGGTACACAACCTACTACGAACTCCTACAGATTTGATAGCTGTATATGAATTACCTACAATGCATGGTGATCACTTTGGTGAACATTTTGATACCGTGAAATCTCATCAGTCTCAGAAATTCCAGATATCTTACGATTCAACTTAAAATAATCTATAACAAATTGGCTGGTCCTATACAGAAACTGATATACAGGAACTGTATACTATTTCAATATCAGTGGACTTTCAGATTTCAGATGTATTAACTTATTTTTTAGACAGGAATTTCAACTGCATATTTTGTTTAATATATCCTGACAATGTTAAAATGAAAGCATATTTAACTACAAATCATTACTCTGGTGTTGAAGATTTGTATGTTTCTTCCTTTTCAATGGATGAATTCAATCTGACATTGAAATATTAGAATACCAGAACATTAAAGTCCTTGCCACTTGGCAGCAGGTATCAAATATTTGTCCATTCTATAAGTAGTATATAGGAAACCCTGACATTGACTTTAGAGTCACATACCATGACCTCATCCAAGGTACCTGTGTATAAATATTTATCATTACATCCCTAAAGAAATGAAGTAGCTAGAACTGGTAATAGTTATTGGAAATCAGCTTGACAGAGCTGGACATTACAAATACAACCTAAATAATAATGACTAGCCTATAACATATATTCATCTGATCATAAAGCCAAAGTATTCAATAAGGAAAGGACCTTCAGTCTAAAGACTTTATTTACTTCATACATCGGTAACGGTTATTCCAGTAGAATATCTATCACACCCCTAGAATCCAGATATTGTAGCGTCCATAGACTTCCATCAATAACTTGTACAAGTGATAGACAGAAAATCTAGCCCATAGACTAAACTCCTTTGAGTCATGTGGTCAAGTAAATGTTTTACTGGGTAATGGAATAGCCTTAAACAGTTACTTGTGAATTTAAGAAATTGCATAATTTCAAAATTAAAAGATTTGCAAAATTTCAGTATTTTTGTCATGGTTAGAAAAGACGTGTAGATGTGATACCAATGACAGTAAACATAGTATTGAGACATAGAAGATAAATGATTTGAAGGGTTATTGTTAGATTTGGGCAGTAATAGGATGTTCGTGTCTTTTCAAAAACTAACTTGATACAAGGTGTATTCATTGTTTTCTACTTACAAAAAAATCATTGCAAGTCCCATTATTTAGGTTTAAATTACATTTTCAGAAACATTCTCCCTCTGTTTATTTCAAAACGTTCCTTATTTCAACATAAAATCCCACTTTCCAATATCACATTCCAGCATTCCTTTTACAAAACATGTCAGTGATATGCCAGTATACATGGTTTTTTTCAACAAGAACTTGTTCCTCTACTCATGACATGTACAGGTAAAAACAAATACTGCACTCTCAAAATTTTAAAGAAAGCATTATGTAAACAAACCCCCCCCCCCCCTTTTTTTTTTTAACAAATTTGTCAAATCAAAAAGTAATTGTCTGGTTGTACAAAATGTAAAATGTAAATTCAAATAAATCAATTTTCTCCAAATGATATATTTATGAAACCATGAACAAGTTCTTGTTTATCAGTTGAACAGAATCTATTTTTTTCTTTTTAATATTTTCTGAATTCCCCCAAATGAAAATAGAATGCGAAATTCTGTTCATTGATATAAATTTCCCCAAAAAGTACATAAAATATGACAAATGATATCACTCTCAACAAACGAGAACAAACAATATTTATTGATGATACCTTCTTTATCCTGGTTTTTCCTTATCTATGTTGAAAACCACCCCAATTTTAAGTATGGATCAGATAAAAGTCTACTCATTATCTTTTTCATTGATCATTCTTTTGAAAATAAAAAAAGTTGTATAATATGAAATACAGGAACTTCAAAATCCATTTCAAATATTAAAAATTTAGAAAGACAAATGTTCTTTTTTGTTAAAAAACCTTGGCATCCTGAAGGTTGAAAGTGGTATCATTTGAATGATGATAAATAAATGATGTTACATGATGAGAGACAATGTTACATGAAGATTACACAAGTTGTCCGTGTATATGATGTGAGTGTAGTAGATCCACCAAACCCATGCCATCGCCGATTACTGCCAAATCTACAGATCAAGCTGTACAGACAAATCATCAAACATCACAGAGAATCCATTTATCAAAAAATCTTCAATGAATATTGCAAGTTTCTCTTTAATAAAAACTTTGTAAAGATCATTGTACAAAACATATTTATATTGGCACAATATCTTAGAAGTATCTGGTATTGAACACAGGTGTTGGTAGTTAGTATGCTGTATACCGAGAATATTCACTGCTATTTCACATTCCATACTATTAAAGAGAATGATGGATAGTCATTTCTCTTACCCTGGACTGGTATATGCACTCTTTTTATGGGTGTGAAATTTCCTTGTCACACCCTAGGACTGAGACAGGGGAATTTCCCTTCCCATTCTATGATGTCACATCACCAGTGTCAAGCACTGGAACAAAAAATTTACCTCATAAGGTCAGTAGGATAAGAGAAAAATAATCTTTCACACTCTTGTTGTGAGATAGGGTGTGATCTTTACCCTTGGAACCCTTGAGAAAAGACAACTAAGTTGCAAACACTAGGCAAGCCTTGTGCTTGCAGACATAATCATCTTTCACATCGAGATGAGATTCCCATATTGTACCTCCAAAGGGTTGAAAGATCCTAATAACCCTGGTGAAGGGTCAAGTGATTAAAAATGATTTTCTAAGATGGCAATAAGTGAAAATTTCTCGGTTTACAGATCCACCATTATATAAATATAGATGTGAGCTGTAGCAGCAAGAGCAGCACCATTACCCTGTTAATAGTAGTATACAACAAGCTACTAGTAGCTAATATAACGCTACAATAAATATGCTGTGAAATGTCTTTAAAAAATCAAATGCACATGAAACCTCAGACCTGGAAACTTACCCTACAAAACAGATTCACCTTAGAGCTAGTAATCAAATATTACTTATTGGAGAGGAAAGGGAATCATATTCTTTACAATATTTGAACAGTTCCCATTTTCTTCTATGGTAAGGAAAAGGAGAGAATTTCACTAAGTATGTCATCAAGAATATAAGGGGGTGAAGCCACCATCAGATGATTTGATCACTTTTTTCTTCAAACTCATTTACCAATAGTAGCATATCTGAAAAAACATCTCTCCCTCCAACTCCTTCCTCACGATCAGTTTCAGAATATCCCAAAACAAAATGTTTACTGAATTAAAAATGACCCTTTCCCATACCTCTATGAAACTGATTATCATGAAATATACAGAAGAAATATTTTCTAATGAATGTAAATTCAGACAAGAAGTCTCTACTACACACAACATCTGTTTTAGCCCCGAGCCACTACCCATTCCACACTAGCAGAATATAAACCATAGGTACCTAAGTGATCCAGTCACATAGGGGGCTGCTTTGCTGTAAAGTAGTTGACTATCATTACTTCAGTGTCATTATCGATTGTCTAATCTTAAAACATGCCTTGCTTCTGTGTAACAGCTATACAATTCTTACTGGATTTTCATATGTAACCAACTTGCACAAGATGAGACCACAACTTATGCTATGAAATACAAGTGTATTAGAAACAATACATACATATTTAATTTAATGAATATACACATCATGACATATATAATGTAAATGATTTTCAATAACTTTAGTTTCATATATTTTTAATGCTGATATGACATGTATAACCATGCTGATGAGTTACCTGTCCTTCTGCCTGTATTGTGAAAGAAAACAACATCTTAATCCAATCTAATTACCATTAAAACTTTCTCCCCTTTATAACATTCTCAATACTGTGCACAACTGGTCCTATCAACAAAATTAAAGCTTTAAAGCTCAAAAATATTTGCAAAAGCCCAGGACAACCCAATTTCATTTTAAGGTCAGATTGCTATAAATATATATTTTGTAGCATTTCAATCAAAGCAGTGCACAATTTTTGATCCCTGCTAATAGAATAAAACAAAATAAACATGGGGGCCCACATAAATTTACCCCTACCCCTAATTTAGCACAGCTTTTTTTTGACAAATGGTAAAGGGTGACCTTTGACCTTAAATCTTGACAATCAAGATCTATTCAGGTACAGACCTTGGCGTTGTGTTGCTTTAGTGTGAATCTGAACTACCTGCTGGTAAATCTGTTCAGGGATTGCATAGGAACCAAATCTATTCAAGGGTTGATAGAATATCTATTACATAAGCTTTTTATTTCCAAAGTAGACAAGGTTAACGTTTGACCTTGACCACCAAATTCTAATCAGGTGTAGACCTTGGTGGTATGATGTGAATATGATCCAAATCTGTTCATGAGTTCATGGAATATCATGGAAACGATGTTACCATGGAGGCTTGAACATTAGCACACCAACGCATAAAGTGATTCCTATACCCCTTCACCTAAGTGGGGGGTATAATGACTCAAAACACATGTGCACCAAGTTACTACATACAACTTTGACTTCAATTTCATCTTTACTGTATAGTTGACAATTTCGCAAAAAAGCCTGTGGCTGTGCAGAGTTGACTTAATAGGATAGAGAAGGTTCAATAACATGTAAAGACCATATTAAATAAGCAGTTTGAGTAAATATCTAAATCAAAATCTTTCACACAGCTTAGTTTATCTCCAAGGCATGAAATCCTGCTGTAGAGTTAAATCATATTTGCACTCTCTATTCACTGATGATTCTGGAGTCATGTAACATTTTACTTGGAGTATGAAGTGCATACCATTTATTGGCCAAATTATACAAAAAGAAAAAAAAAAAAAACAATATAATGAAAAGCGTGATGACATTCACACTGCCCAAAATTATGTTGAGTGTAGTGGCAATACAAACCTGGGTGTGAAGGAATTTTTGCCCCATGTTCTGCTCTTGTGCTCGTAGGAGCCAGGTGTGTGGATAGGACCTAACATGCTGCCTGGCACTGAAACCATACAAAAGTTATATATTATCATAATGACCTAGCAATGATAATACTTCTTTGATGGAAATTTTGGTGAATGATTGCTTCATTACAACAAGAAAACTCTGTCGTCCATATAATACTTACATGTATTCCAAATTAACAACAAATTCTCTGCTATATTAGGAACAGTTTAGATAATTTGTATGCAGAACAAATATTCCAGGTTTTGTCCAAAAGATGAGAAAGTTATAGTCATCTATTTAGCTGCGAGGGATAGAAAACTGACCTAGAAGAGATACTGTTTCTACCATATTTTCCAGATTATAAGCAAACTTTATTAAATGTTTCACTAGAGATCTTGATAAATTGCCCTCCATTTTCTGTTATATTAACAAACTTGGGTCAGTGCAGCTTATTTGTGGATCAAATAAAAAATATCTCTAAAAACAGACTCTTTTGCTTATATACTGGTGTCTTATAACTCAGAAAAATGGTACTGCATTTACTTAAAAAAAATGACTTGGCCATGACCAGATACATATGTGTACTTATTTTCAGATATAATAGTTTTGTTTACTCAGTTGTTTTAATGTCTGGTCCATGTTTCAAGCGATACATCACAATCATTTTGATATTTCACACTCGGATAAAGCCAGGGTGACTAGCGTGAGGATGTTGTTATTAACTTAGCATTGGGTATGTTACCTTCAACCTTCTAGTGTCAGTTTAAAAACAAAATGTTAGTCAGAAGTGAGGATCCTGCAATATAGGTGTATTTTACAATCTGGTTTACCTGCCTGTCTCTCTGGTGTCTATCATAAGTGACTTCATTGTTTGACTGTCTGGTATCTGTCATAAGTGACTTCATTGTTTGGCTGCCTGGTATCTGTCATAAGTGACTTCATTGTTTGGCTGTCTGGTATGTCATATGTGACTGACCTGCTCTACTCTTGACTATCATTGCCAGTTAGCTCTTGGTTTTCTAGTGCGTGCCATACATCACTTACCTGCTCTGCTCTCTGGCCTATCTCTTTGTGATTTAGCTGATTGACTTTTTGGTTTCTTGTTATATGTGACTTACCTGTTTGGCTTTCTGACATGCATGACTTACCTGCTCTGCTCTCTGGTGTCTGTGGTGTGTTGAACTGGTTAGGGTAGAGGTTTTCCTCATCAATGTTAAGAAAAGACTCCCAATAATCTATTGGGATCTCAAACAGTTTCTCCATTACCTGTGGATATAACAATCAACTTATTGAATTTTTTCAACATGAATTTAGAACATTTGCAAATTGTTATCTCAAAATGTCCTTGAAGTTAACTGGTAGCAGTGATCTCCACCAAAAGCTATGATCATGAATATTGTAACCTAACTGTGACAGCATTCCTATTAATTCTGTACAGCAAGTTTTTCCATTTGGCCTCATGAAATATAAAACATGAGCAACTTCAAACCTCTCTGTTCAAGCATTTTATACTCTACTATAGGACAGAATTCATGTAATAGATAGTATTACCCAGATAGTATTGAATAATTGATAAAATAAGAGCTCTCTCAATTTTTTTTCATATCAGGAAGAATTGTTTTTCCATATTTATCTGCTGCAAGTTTTGAAGTCCCACAGTACACTTTTTCAGAATAATGTAAAATCATATTTTCACACGGCTCTATTTCTGTGGCTTTTCGAGAAAACACTATTTCATGAACACTTGATTTCCTGGAAAAATATAGTTCAACAAGTACTAATTGTAATGGGGACCATTACAAATGTCCCCCAAACGACCCCTTCAGCAGTAAATGATCACAATAATCAGACCTGCAGTCATGCCAAACATGAACACACCAATTTTGAATGGAAATGAGAACGTAAATTTTTAAAACATCAGAAGAGAGGAAATGGTGATGCTTTTAGTTTGGTAAAAAGAGAAGTGTCCTAACCTCAGTATGACAAAGAGTTTATTTTGTGTCTGCTACTTTCAATATCAAGTACTTCTCAATGGTCCATTTAAATATATAGGGCAAAAGGCGTCACAATAACACCAACCACACTTTATGCATAAATGGCATTTATTTCTTTTTCACAAAGTACAAAGAATCCATCATATTTTAAGCTGAGATGTATTGGGTTGTTTCTTTGTCTTTATGTTTTATTTTTCTTTAAGTAGTCACTAAGAATTCCAGCTTCAGTATGATCTGTTTCACAAAGTGTCAGTTGTGTCCTCAGGAAAGTGCACATACATGACCAAAATAAAAAATGGACTACGCCATTTTGCTCTGAGCGCCACCTAATATATATATACCAATTTTCACAAAAATTGGACAATATCTAAAATTTGGCCAACACGAAAATAGGATAATATCTAAAATTTGGCCAAATTTTGACCACAGCTGTCCGCTCAGATGACCGATTGGAAAAATTCAAGTGACCTGCATTCCACCTCGCATGTATGAATATGTGTGTGAAGTTTTGTTAAATTCCATGCAATAGTTTTTGAGAAACGCGTCGGAAACCTCGCTGGCGGAAGAAAGTGGAAGAAATAAGACTTTGTTTGGGGAACATAATAAAAGTTATACTAATTAGACATTTTGTGATCATATGAATTCAAGGATTAAGACAAGATGAAATCAAGGAAAATACAGAGGGCACTTAAAGATGCTGTGCATGAAGTATCAAAAACAGGAATAAAGCAGGAGATTATTATAATATGACTTTCTGAAACATAAAGATAATCTATCCTACAACTGGAAATTACCACGAAAAGGAATTTTCTATAAATAACATTTATCATCATGACTGATGACACTGTAAACTTGCATTTATGACAAAATTTGGGTGAGACTCAAATTTCAAAAGGTGACCTTGAACTTTAACCTATAATGCATTTACTTATCTAAGGTAGATAGGTCTAAACAAACATACATATGAAATTAAAATGTTGAAACACTGGTTGATTTAAGTTATCACAAAACTGAACAGTGACTAGGGTATGTTGAAGTTGAACAAATTCAGAGACAGATGATATGTTTTGCCAATACAAGGTGGGCTAAACTGTAGATCCTAGAGATACATATGCAAAAATATTGTGCAATTTTTCTTTTTATTGAAATTGGTTCCAAAATCAAACACACATCATTCGCAGAAACTTGAGAATTATACATCCAGTAACTCTCAATGTAAGAAATGAACACATTATAACTGTCAAAGTCCATGAAGGCTACGCGTTATAATGTTACCAACCATACGACAGCATGAAACACGTCATGGTGTAATTTTAAAACAAACTTCTTCACATAGGTGAATGAAGATGTGTGTTGTAGGTTTATTTGTGGAGAAGTCAGGTTGACTTGTTGGAGTCTTTCCTATAGATAATGGTAACTTGTATGTTATAAACCCCCCCCCCCCCCCCCCCATAAATTAATGATTTTACTATAAACAGTTGTCAAAATAGAACCAGGACCATAGGTTTGTTTTAGAATCAAGGTTAAAATTGAATCTAAGTCTGTGAATTAAAGGTAAGTTAACAGAAAAATTACAAATAAACTGACATGATCAATCTTATACATTGCCCTTTCAGATGACACCAAACCATTCTGCTGCACTTTTGTCAAAAAAATCTTTTTGTCCTTACCATGCTCTGGTACTTAGTCTCGTTGATCATCATGAGGGGTTCTGGCTCTGGCACCGAGTAGCCAACTATGGTGGGGCCAAATACCTTAGCCAAATTACTAGTCGGCATCTTACACTCATGGCACTCGCCCACTCTGAAAATCAACACCATACAATCATAGTCAAATGTTTTAATCCCTTCCTACACTCATAAGAATCACAAATTCTGCTTAGGAATACATTATACAACTAATGACAACTACATCAAAATGTTATTAATATCAATGTATGACTTTAACAAGAGGTATATAGGGCCTGTATCGCTCACCTGGCTTTTTTTGACTAAAATTGCTTATCAAAACTAAAGGAAGGGAATTCTATATATCCAAGAACAAAACACAAAATATATCTATTTTCCTAATGAACCTTAACTCTCTGCCCTTAGGGGGTCAGCCAAATCATTCATACTTCAGGCCAAATCATTCCTCAGGCATGTCAGTGAAAAACCAAAGAAATAAGTTTGAAATTCAGTTGATTCACCAGTCCATTGACCAAATGAAGCAAGGGTCTCCCATCCCAGGTAGTCGAGACTCATAGTAATACAAAATTGATTTCCCCATCATCCAAGAACTCTTCACACCAATTTGCGACAAAATCCAATCATTCCTACAGGAGGAGTAGGATTTTAAAGAATTTGCTTTATTTCCCCTATTGACACCATCCCTCCCGCCCCAGGGGGGCAAGACCCTTCTTTTATACAAATTAATTTCCTTTCCCCCAGCAATGCTTCAGACCAAATTTAGGCAAAATGCAATCATTCCTACAGGAGGCACAGGATTTTTACAGAATTTGCTCTTTTTCCCCTTTTCAGCCCCACCACTTTGAGTCAGGAAAGTTAAAAACTTTAATGCTGTTATTGATGAAACAGTGACAAATATTGAGATTTACATACAAATAAGGATTATGAGAACTTAGCTTAGCTGTTGACATCTACTTATCAACTACAGAAATATCTCTTTTTTTTTCTGGTGAATATCCAATTGCCAGTGTTGGACAGCATATCAATCATACAAATGATTGGGGGTGTACTTTTATATCTTAAAAACTTATTTTGCTGTCTGATGCACATATCTTATCTTTTAACAGAATCCTGTAATTATACCTGATGAGATGCAGGATAAGGAAGGCCAGTGTGTCCCTGTTAGACTGTGGCAGCTGACTTATAGCTTGGTATAATTCAGAATCACCCATAGCACGGTCTCGGTTCTCTAAAAGAAAACAAATTTGCTACATATGTTAAATTGTATATTTGAGTTGATATACAATGTATGATACTGAGAAACTCAAACTCTTCTAACCCAGCTAGACAGTTATGACCTTGGAAGTTGCTTTAATGGAAGTATTTATTAAGACAACACTACACTTTTCAGTAGCAATGATAGACCCACCTGCTGCACTCTTAAAGTCCTTCCACAAAGAAAAAGTGATGACAGGTTCCTTAAGGCCTCTCAGGAAATCCTTCAGACAGCCGCACACCACATTGATGTCATCAATATGTGACTGAACAGACAAGAGTTTTATTCATACACAAAATAAGCTGCAGGGTCTTAGTTTACAAGCAAAGTAATTTTAATCACCACCTTTATAACTAAATCAAAAAACACATTCCAATATAAGTCAAATAGTTTCAAACAGAATTTTGTTTTCAAATTCTCTGCAAATGACTGTGCACAAGAATCTTACTAATGACTTTTAAAGTTAAACTTCATTATCTGACCTCTCAGTAAACTGGTATCAATGCAGGGTCTATTTGCATGATGAGACATATAACAATACTGTCCTGATATTCCATCAATGTGAATATTTACAATATTATTTTTTTCTAGTCTGTTAAAGTTACTCACCATATTTGGCACTCCCCTCCCTTTGAAGAATTCCTTTTTCAATTCCTTCACCTGTGATTCAGCTCTGATGCAATAAAAGAGATATGAAATCACATTAAGAAACGTAAGAGACTTAATGTACTAATGTATACTGATTGGATGTGGATATAGTAGGTTACAATATTGTATAGCTCTGACACATATCTCTTAATCCTCTACCAATTTACCAGTTATTGGTCATAAAATCAATACTTTTTATTAGGTGAAAGAATCTTTGTGAAGAGCTGAAGTTCAAGAGTCAGCAAGAAGCTTGCTAAAGCAGAAACAGCCATGTTTGTTTATGAAGAATTCTAAATACTGGAGCTGGATTCCTAGCATTTGTCAAGCTGTCTTTTTTTAATGATATACACATTAAAGCTTTGTTTAATTAAGAGCTTTTCAAATAAATTTGTGAATCAATTTTAAAAACACATTTTTTTAATATTTCACATATTAGTGGAGATATTTGGGGCTAGCAGAATATTGTTTCAGGCTAATGGATTTTAGCAGGCAATTAGCACTGGTTGAATGTATTTTTTTCAAAATAACATCCCTATCTTTTATCTGAAACAATGAAATCAGGGAAAATAGAGAGTGATAGTAAAGTTATTCTAAAAAAATGAGACATCCTAACAAAATAAGAATGGTTTGTATTTCTAACCCTTAAATACCAAGAACATATTTCACTGAAGACCCTTTTTGCTTTCATCAAAATTTTCAAATTACCTTCTCAAGTGAAAGTTCCAGGTTTATTAATTAATAGAAATATCTTTTACAATCACAAGCTTTAAGCCTTACCCTGGAACCCTGTAGATTCCCACTTCTGTGAGTCCTCTTGCCTCCACTTCATTTACGCAGTGAACCTGTAATAAAAGAAGCAAGACAATTCTGATAGGTTATTTATTTTAAAAGTTTTAAAATCAAAAGTTTAATGAACAGGAGCAAATAAAATTATGATATAATTTTCCTTCACAGAAACTAGAATTCTGACAGTGCTCTTGTGATACATATACATGTAAATATATGAATAAGTGTTGTATGTTAAAGTATAGTAAAAGAAAAGAGAATAGCCTTACCACAATCGCTGGAATCATTGGCGGGTCAATAGGAGCATAGTCATTCAACAGGCCCTGTCAAAGAAAACATTCAAATATAGTTCTTTTGTGCAAAATAACTGAATATCCTTTTTGTTTAATATTTGATAGATTCAATAAGATTACATTGCAAAACTATAGCCCACCTCTGTTCCCTGGGAGAGACAAATAATATTTTAATCAAAATTCTTTTTTTATCAATACTGTGCTAGATACATCACAAGCACAGTCATATGCTACATTCTTCTTCAATCATATTCAATATTTAATACAGCTGAAAGATTAGCAAACCAAACTTAAATCTGTCACCCTCTTACATGAAAACTTTTTGATTTTTACAGATATATATAATTGAATCAAACATTTGCTCAAATCAAACAAACACAGATTCTAAAAGTTACAACTTACACCAGACATTTTTGTTGTTCCAGGTGTGCTGGGACAGCAAGGCACACATGGTAATGGAAGATTATCTTTACAGTCCGGATGACATGTTGCTTTACAGTCTACAAAGAAAACATAAGGCAAGTAACATCAGAACCTGAGTCTTAGTTGGACAAAACAAATATAAACATTTTGTATTCAGACTAGTTTTCCATCTCAGTACTAATTTCTAACAAGAGTGGTAGCAAGGATTTTCTTAAAATAGAAATGGTGACCTTGACACAACAACACTGTAAATCAACTCATGTAATATCATGGTCCTTTATATTATGTGAAGTTTGATAAAAATTCATTCCAGAATGAAACTGGCAGTGCTGAGAAATATTTTCTAAAAACAGAAATAGTGTCCTTGACAACCCGAAACTCAAACTTGTCCAAGATATTATGGTCTTTTTTTATGGGTAGATGTGAAGTTTGATCAATTCCTCACATGGAATGAAGCTATAAGGATACTGACAAGGATTTTCTAAAAACATGGTGGTGACCTTGACCCCTGAAATTCACACTTGTTTAAGATACAATGTTCTTAATAAACAAAGTTTTTTTTTATATTCCTGAAGGAATGAAGCCATTAGAGTCCTGACAAGAACAAGTATTGTATGTGTATGTAGAAATAGAAGGATCCTACATCCCCTGATATTTGTCATGTAGAGATAATAAGCAGGTATTGTTTATATCACTTACCTTTACACTTCATTGCTAGCTTGCCAAATCTGATTCTCTTTCCACACTGAAAAATATAACTCATTTTATCAAAAATAATCTGGTAAACCAAAGATGCATAATATACAAATATATAAATGAGGATTAACATTTGTCTGACAATTTTACTGAACAAGAAATACTGCAAATCATATTCATTGACATTGATATACAAATCCCTCAAACTTCCTCCATTCAATGATATATATATATATATAATGAAGTCAGTAATATACTCTTTATTATAATTTCCACAAGAAGGACACACATATTTTGTGTGCAGTTAGAAATTTTATCATATTTTCCAACAATCCTAGTGCTGAGTCTTACTTCAACATTATATGATTGACCCCCTCTTTCTAATTCTGGGTATATAAAGGCTTTGTATTAGTGAACAATTTATTCAGACTTTTATTCAAAAGTAAGTTCTTTCTTGTAAAATTTGTGAGATGTCTATTCAACAATACATACTGGTGCACATGTCTCTGGTTTGATGACCGTCTTAGAGATAAAGAAGTGAATTCTGTTTAAACCTCGACCAGCAGAACTGGCTTTTCTCAGACGTGGTGTTCTGTTAACAAAGAAATGAAATAAAACATTTGTATTTAACAAGTTCAAAATACTTATTTTTTTCTTCCAATTTCAACAGACTTCTTTTCAAAAGTATCATATAAAATCTTCAAACCTCATCATGTTAAATATTTCTGTTATGTAGTTGTTAAAAACTGAGGTTTTCAATTTAAAAGATTTACTGCCTTCATAAAAATTCAGGCACTTAGCTTTACTATAGAACTTAATTAAGGTCTCATAAATTACAAATGACATTAAATTAAGTTAATCATTACTGAAGCTGTGGTTATCAAAACAATAGTCCTAAACAATGTGTCAAAGACTACACTTAGTAGTATGTGTGCCAGGTTAAATTTAAATACCCATTTTCCCCCCAAAAGCTTTCTGAACTAGAACCCCAATTCATAAATATACTAAGGTTTAGGCATAAAATGAAGAAATGAACTTGTTGAAAGAGTCTTATATTCAATTTACAATACATCTGAATTTCTTAATGAAGTAAACATACACTGAATTTGAACATTGTGAAAACTCTGTATTGTAACTTATCACACAAATCAGACTGGTTGTTAACATGGATGTAAATACTCACTTTGGAGTAGTTCCCTTGAGAATTCCTCTAGATTTTCGTCTGGAACTCTGATTTCTGTTGCCAGGTGTACCCAGGTAAGAATCTTCAGATTCGGGTTCACTTTCTGAAAAAAGATGATACTTTATGACATCCTTACAAAATTTCAGTTAAGATGAAATAAACAAGAAGTTCTGTTTTCATAAATATGAGAACTGTAGTTATACAGTTTGATCATTATAAATACTAGGATTATTCTTGTCATTAAAAGGTTGACATGCAACGGGAGGCAATACATTTCAATATTTAAAATCTAAACTTTCATATAAAAGAAAAATTATTTAAGAAGTCAGCACAGATGAACCCTTTTTATTATCTCTTACCAGCATCTCTATTTGGACTATCCAGGTGTTTGTCCAGAGCTGGTTCACTGAAGCTTTTGTTGAGCGTTTTTGTCTGCGGGATAACCTCAGCAACAGCCCCCACAAGCTTACCATCAGCATTAAGGGTGACCGTTGTTGTGGTCACTATGGAGTTGTTTTGTTCCTGTATCATTGAAAAAAAAACAAAAATTCTCAATCTTCCTATGACACTCTTCCAAACTCAAACCAGTGAGTAATGTTTCTGATGCTCTCTAGGAAATCCAGTTATAAACACTTCCTGGTGGTAACCTTGATACACTGCTAAACAGAACTTTGATTACCTGAGCCTAAACCTTTTGTTCTCCATTAAAAAATGTAAAGCAATTTTAACAACATAAAATACATTATTGGTACCTATATTGTTTTAATTACAATGCAAATTTATACCAAGGATATCATTATTTCTACAATATCACCACAAAGAATTTGACCCATGGCACCTGGCTTCCTAGGCTAAAATTCTGAATCAAGTTTACTAGGACTACATTAGAATAAAACCTCTGCAAGCAAAGATTTAGTTGAACCTACATCTTCATCACTCCTCCTTCGCTTCACAGGTTCATCTTCCATTGGTGGTGCAGAGGGTCGCTTGATTTTCCTTCCACTTCGGAGATAAGATGTATCAAGATCATCTTCTGTTTTATCATAAACAGAATCACCAAGTATGGAGTGTGCTGACTCATTTATTGTCCCAAGTCTATGAAGAAAGAAAACAAAATTGTGCACTGATCTTCTGGAACAAATTTCAAGAATTAGTTTCAAAATATTGGTCTTACTGAAATTTTACTTGGCAGAGAAACAGGAACAAAGCGAGATATTCCACACACACACAAAAAAAGAAGAAAAAAACATACTTTCTGCAATGAAGAATACATTGTAAATATGACTGCTATGTGAGTTAATGCAGAATTATCTTGACTTGTACCTTCTTGATGGAGAATTGCCCTCTAATTGTGATTGGTAAGTGTTGTGACTGAGGAAAGCCAATTTTTCTCTGTCCTGTTCATTCAGCATACTTTTTCTATTCTTATCTGTCAGTAATTCCCGAATAAGAGCAATCTGTCTTTCCTGTAAAGAAAAATAGTGTTTAAGGCATTTTCTGAAAGTGTCTTCAAACACTAACTTAACACAGCGAACAATACTTGCACACTAAAACATTATTGAAAGTTGATCCTCATTATTATCCAGGCATTTAGTAGACCCTCAAATGAGTTTCATTCCTAAATATGAAATTTAAATGTCAATTCATATTTAATGACATTTTCTTTTTAATTACCAGTGTTAGCTACAGATACCTTATTTGTTTATGTACAGTCGAGACTTGTTATCTCGAAATTCAAGGGACAGTGAAAATATTAAGACTTACCTGTCGTTCAAGTCAAATAAAGTGTATAAATAATGTTGCTGATTTCAGTTTCCTAAATGAAGAAGGGCTACGATTACAGGCAAACAGTGTATTTGAATCTGTTATTTGAAATGGCAGTAAATAAACAAATGAATTTGTCCTACTTTCCCTTTTTATTTTTTATTCATGCCAATAGCAAAACATGTAACTCCAAACAAATGCAATTGTACTCGTGTCGTTCCCTCCGCAAACATGTACAATACCCTTACTGACCAAGCACATATACATCATACATTTTACAGAATGACATTGAACAAAATTTTAATTCGTTTTTGATATGTTACAAGAAACAATGTATGAAGCCACAGATCATATCAATATGACTTTATTATGACTAAATAAACATATGAAAAGTGTGATACTAGAAAGTTTTTACCTGTTATAGAAAACATTGTACAAGCATTAGACAAATCGCACACAGATAAAGACTCTATCAATGAAAAATACTTTCAGCACTTCATTGTCCAAACACTAAATCTGACAAAGTGCACAGCCCTTAACAACTTCAAAATTGGTTTCTTTTGGAAATGTGGGTATCAGATTTCGTCAAAAAGTTTGTACTGGTTTCAGTTACGTTTTTATCGTTCCAGATGACGCAAACAAGCTAAATGTTGTCGTCTTGAATAAACGCACTACTTTTTGATAGTGTACAAATTAGTCACTGCTACAGGATAATGTGTGTTCACCGGAACGATATGCTGACAATTAGCCACGTGTTACACACAGGTGACTTTCTACTCTTTGTATATATTGACATATTTCGTCAGAAGACATGCCAATGTTTTGATAAATTTTAATTGATTAATTTCGAGACAATAAATGACTTTACCCTTGCTTTACAAATGAAGGGACTGACAAATCGCATCTCAAGCGAAATTTTGATTCATGCAAATTTGAGTCATCTGAACTAAAAATGCAAAGATGCAGAAGGAAAAAAATCCGGACTTGAAAATCATTTTGACTAAAATGGAATTTCAACTCATGCCATTTCGAGGCAAGTTTTAACTGTATATATCATACATCTTAATATTTATCACATACCAATTGGTCTCGTTCCGATTCTAAAAATCTTCTGTGTTCCGTTTCTTTACCAATCTGGCTTCTGGCATGCTTCAAAGTAGTCTGTAGGGAGTCATTCTCTTTTTCAAGGACAGAAATTCTTTCGTGGAGTCTTTCAAATTCTGTTTCTAATGAACACCACTTCTTTAAACAGTCTTGTTGATTTGATACAAAACGTTGGAACTCTGAAAAAAAATCATCATTGGTCCGTTAAACAATGCAGTGCTGTTCCTATTTCAGTATCTAGCTGCCTGTATCAACATGATGATGAAATGGGAAGTACACAGAGCTGGTCTTTATTTCCATGTTTTATTCAAAAGTAAATGCAACACATCTTCCACTTTAAAATCACAAAGGTTAAGAGCTGAACGATTGAACAGGGATCATATTAAACATACCTGGTTCTATTCCAACCTGTAACACTTTCGCATTCCTAGACAGGTCGTCAAAGCTGGCTATGAGTGAAAGTTTGGCATCCATCTGCGGAAAATGGGTGTTGGAGTTCAGATTGTGATGCGCAATCAACTAAAAACCATTGCAACATATTTTCTTTTCTGTCTTTCCATCCAACAATGATTAATTTTATAGTTTATAGTTATCAGAATTTATCATATTAACCTTGGTATTTTGTGTCTGATCACAACAACAGGGCTTTGTTACTGAATATATAACAATCACTGTAATGTCCCTGTTTATATACAAATTACCTCATTGTAAAGTATCGTTGAACATGATTAACATTCGAACATTTACACGAAATGAGCTCGTATCTGCCCTCATCAGGGATAAACACAGCTAAATCTTTTATCTAAAACAAAGATCATCAACACTGTGTAGCCTAGTGGTCTATCATCAACTGGACAGTGATGTTGATGTTCGGCCTCAGAAAACAAAAATACATCTGATGTATAATTCATATTAATGCGATTTTTCCACAGATTTACTAGACCTGAAAAGTAACATCGCTTATACAGTAAATAAATGTAATATACCTTTCTGATTCAGCTGAAAATAACAAATAAACAATTAAATTATCCTTTTTTTCGCCATCAATATTCCCCCTTCCTCTTGCCGGGTGTTTTTGAACTGCTAATGAATTGTCCAATCAAAACCGTAGTTGCAAATGATTACGCCACCTGGTGGACTGGCGCGTGAACATGCCCAGTGTTACCTCCCCTATTTAGTAAAGATAAATAAATAGATTGAAAATGATGCAAATAAATTAACTAAATAATGATAAAGATATATATATATTTTTACAGTTTTTGCTTCAATTACGATCATGAAATTAATCGCATCTGTGTAAATAGAAGAAGGCGTTAACTAACGTTGTTCGAAATTCCCAAAACAGGGGCGTAGCTAGACCAGCAGAAAATGTGTAAGCCCAGGCGAGTGGTCTGAATTTCATAATTTTAAAGATGTTTTGAATCGTTTTCTGAGACAGTTTTTTATTGACTTAACAACAAACTTCAACCCCTGATATTTATTTTCAACCTTAGTTTTGTAATTTTGTCCGACATACTCTTTGCACGGATTTTTTTATGTGTAAGCCCGGGCTTTAAGTTGTTTCTATGGAATATACACTCGTGCAAAAGATATATTTTGAGCAGGAGTAATGAGTGTTGAATACACTCGCATCGATATCATCCGAGGTTGGTACATCACCTTCCACAAATAAATGCAATAAGCAATATTTACTTTTTAATCCATGACAGTATGTTCTATTAGAAAATTTATTTATTTATTTATTTATTTATTTTTGACGGACATATAGGAAACTTTTTTTTTCAAAGCTTATCAATTTTCTTTTGTTGCACAGATTTCTAGACGAGTTTGTTTCAGACACAGGTATATTTTCCAGATAGTCTTGTCATAGGGAAACCTACCCGTTGCCTGATGACAAGTCCACGTTTCAGTGACGTTCTCTAACTGCTCGTGTCTATAAACAGGTAACCTACAATTTTCATTTTGTTTTCTTAATCAGCTATATTGTTTAAAATTTATTTTTTCCACCTCTAGTAGTTATTTACTACGACTGATTAATTAAACATTATATATAACACAATGTTGTTTAGTATTACGTATAGTTTTTTCATACCTTCTACGTTCAATGGTCGAGTTCTGCTGTCTGTTAGAGGACCGGAGGCTGTTGACAAAATCTCACGGCTGATTTTATTTTTTGTTTTAAACAAAACCGACATCCTCGCTAGTTTTAGGGGCTATTTTGACACTTCTCCTCTATTTGGTGTCAGCGGCCAGTGGTCAGTGGTCGCGTGGGATCGTGTCATGTTTAGTTAACACCAATTAGACATAGCAACAGCTGCTTGCCAAGTCATTTTCACACTTCTTTGTTAAACTTCTTTTCTTGTTTTCGTTTGATTTGTTCAAGTCAGTAACTAGTGTGCGTTTTTCATACCACTGAAGTTATGGACAATATAGAATTTGGATTTTTATTCCTACTGTTTCGACGGAAAACTTCTTGAAACATCAAGCCATGATTGTGCATGTAATGTTTCATTTTGTGCATGGTACGATGATCGCCTTCGGTCATTTTGGATAATGACACTTGAAGTTTGTTAGGCTCTACCAGTATTTCTCAAAAATAAGAAAGATAAAAAAAACACTAAAGAGACATTTTAAAATCTTTTTAGCATTCCACACAAGCAGGGTGGCTGACAGTGGCAGTTTACATTTTGATTTTGACATTTGAAGTTTGTCGCAAGTTTTAAGAACAAGTGTAGGGATCTTCTGCAAATTGTATGGGAGTCATCACATGTTCACGATGGGTAACATTAAGTTATGTATCCACATTTCACCGAGTAACACATTGAAGGATCGTTGCATGTCATCCAGAGAAATAAGGATAAGATGTTCTACCAAATAAACACAGACTTGTGCCTTTCTCGGATAACGCGGATACACTGTAAATGCCACGGACAGGGAGTGCTGAGGAAAACAAAGTGGACGAATACATGTATTTCATTTGGTTATTTTTTACATACTTGAGACTAACCAAAACAGCAAAGTAATCACACATGAAATTTGAAAAAGACCTATGCAGTATTTCTCCAGAAATAGCGATAACAAAATTTCAAAGTCAAAATACCAGATGGCCGCCTGTCGGCTACTTTGTTTTGCTGATCAGAACCAAAATCAAATGTTCACAATTATCGAGCAAGGGAAACATACATTTGAAGTTTAAGAAATATCCGTAGAGTACTTCTCAAGAAATAGCGATAACAAACTTGCAAATTCAAAATCAAAGATGGCCATCTGTCGGACATTTCGTATTTTTGGCCAGTTCCAAAATTAAATGAGCACAATTAGGGACAAAGGGGAACTTACAATGAAATTTAAGAGCAATCCGTCCTGTATTTCTTAAGAAATAGCGATAACAAACTTTCAAAGTCAAAATCCAAGATGGTCACCTGTCTGCCATGTTGGCCCAAATCTCATGGACACAACTAGAGGCCAAGGACAACCTACATATGAAATTTGAGAGAGATTTGAGACGACGGACCACGGACGTAGGGTAATTTGAACAGTCCACCATCTGATGAGTGTGGGCTAAAATATAATAAAACTACTAAATTAGGTAAAACCCGTCCACTGTAGACGCCATATTTGTATTACAATTACTAATTCACCGCACTTCAAGAAATAAGCAAAAAATGCGTCGCTGTTTTATCGATTATGTTGTAACCTGGCGATTGATTTTATAAATAGTCGGAATATGTGGTTTGGATTAATATGAGAACGTATAGGCTGAAACAGAAAAACAGGGAAAATGTCAATTAGGCTGCACCACTGGAACATGTATAGCAAAATTGAAGGCTCAAGCGAAGTTTAAAGTTGATTAGTTCCAGGAGAAAAAGAAGTGACCAATCACAGACTGATATCTTCCTTTTGAAGATTACAAACCAGCGACAACCAACTTCAAACCCATTACAATATACCATTATGCGACCTCGAAATTCGTTTGATGTGCAAAGGATCAAACTAGTCTTTTCGTCTTGTCCACAAGGTGTCGCATATGGAACCATCAGTTTTGCCATTATATGTTCCAGTCGTGCAGAGTGCGAAAGTGATCATAACCCTGGAGTATCGAGGATGGTTCCAGGGGTGCAGAGAGCGAAAGTGATCATAACCCTGGAGTATCGAGGATGGTTCCAGGGGTGTAAAGAGCGACAGTGACCGTAAACCCTGGAGTATCGAGGATGGTTCCAGGGGTGTAGAGAGGGATAGTGACTGTAACCCCTGGAGTATCAAGGTGGTTCCAGGGGTGCAGAGTGCGAAAGTGATCATAACCCTGGAGTATCGAGGATGGTTCCAGGAATGCAGAGAGCGAAAGTGATCATAACCCTTGGAGTATCGAGGATGGTTCCAGGAATGCAGAGAGCGAAAGTGATCATAACCCTGGAGTATCGAGGATGGTTCCAGGGGTGCAGGGTGCGAAAGTGACTGTAACCCCTGGTGTATCGAGGATGGTTCCAGGAATGCAGAGAGCGAAGGTGATAGTAACCTCTGGAATATCGAGGACCATTCCAGGAATGCAGAGAGCGAAAGTGATCGTAACCCTTGGAGTATCGAGGATGTATGTACACTTACAATACTTAAAGGCATGGATCTGAAATATGAGGTTCCCATAAAGAAACTGATATGGACAAAATACATACGATGTTCCATACAGTGTGGGGATCCCGCGTGACTTTTTAGTATCGTACATTTGATTAGATTAATGTCTAATAAAGTGGTTTTTTAAAAGAGATACTCGATGAACGGATTTCAGCTCACGGCATACGCCAGAGTACCATACAAATTTCCCCCCACAAACACGGTGATATGTTGTGTTAAAGGTATCTTTTTTATCTACCGTTTATACATTTCGACACATAGATCAAATTATCTTCATGTCACTATTAATAGTTTTAACCGTTAAAAAATGATTAAAACAAACATTTGGATACCTAAAAAGATAAAAACAAACTGATTTTGAGTTCATTAAGTATGAAAGTTCTCGGTAAATTATTTAATTATTGTTTTCTAAATGACTTTCACCTTTGACGATGCCATGACAAGACGGAAGACTACTTAGTCGTTTCCATTCATCGTTGATTTTCGAGCAACTATCATAACGTAATTTCTTCCGGATAGAAACAGTTATATAACATGTACATCACAACAGGATTCCATACAGTATAGAAAAAGTAAGGAATCCCATATACACACATATGTGCACACACACATGTAGCAGCACACACAAAGACAAGGAAAAGTTCATACGCACACTCCACAAACATATATTACATGTATCAGATCGTGAAAAAGTACCGGAAGTCATTTGATTAAGTTTCTAAACTAATAACACACATATGTATTTAGTAGTCTATTGAATCAAACCCTTAGTAACAAAACTGCATTGTAAAAGACACCCGTGAAACATTGAATTATATATAAGTAGAAATGATCCGAGCTTAATTTACATACGTAAACTATGCAGTCGTATATATCAGTATCAACAGAGACCAGCCTAAGATTGTACAACGAAAACACTTATACTCTTTACCAGTTGTGAAGTGTCAAAATTTGAAATGACCTCTGGTTGCCCTCTGGGATGTCTTAAACAAATCCAAAGTATTGTGTGCGCAGTGAGGACTCTTCCTCATCTTGTCCATAAAGATGAATTTTTAGTTGTGATAAATGAAGGGTTATCCTAGAACTGACTGACAAACGGACATTTGACGAAACAGTAGACGCCTATCATCGAAGTTGGTCCTTGTGGTACTAACTATATCGGTTTGTCTATCTACAATTTATTATAGATTCTATTTATTTCACAACAATTAAAAACGAGTGCCATTAATTTATACTTATCAGTCTTCTTGTTGGCCCGGATTGAGGCATTTCAGGGGTCTTACTGAGGAAGGAGACGCCATTCCCTTTTGCGTTCAGTTGGGGAATTGAACTCCGATCACCTAGGTCAAAGACGAGAACGTTACCGCTGCGCTGTCCGACACCCACTTGTTATCTTTTTTAGAAGTCGCCGATGGATCCTTCCCAAATTTCATAATTATGTAACTTCTTGTCCATTTGTTGTGCTCTGTGGATTTTAGGACAGACCAGAAAAACAAAATTGATGACAGGCGACCATCTTCGATTTGATGGTCAAATATTACTATCATTTCTCGTAAGGAAGTTTCAAATTTCATATAATAAGGAAAAGAACCAATTTTCAAAGACCAAATAATGATACGACCACAGTGGGCGCCAATGGTACAGAATACTGCTAAAAATACTAAGGACATCAACTATTTATTGGCGGATATTTGTAGAATCAAAACGAAACTAGAGATGAATATATTGATATAAGTTTGGTGATAAAGCAAACCAAAGTGTTAAGAAATCAAAACTGAGGGAGAAAAATGTCTGTACAAGATTAAAATGATATTGAATCTCAATACTGGAAGGAATTCATGACGGCATATTTCAATATCTTGGTAGTAAACCCATTCAATTTCCGAAGATGTCATTTGAAAACTGCGGAAGGAGATCTCCAAATAAGATTGACATGGTGAAAAAGCAAGAGGTAGATGACTCCTCCAAAAATGATCGAACCGAAATGTTGTTCAGGAAAACAAAATTCTGTGTCAGTTATAAATCATACAATGTTTGAAACAGGTTGGCAGGAAACAAAATGGATATCTCTGCTCAATCAACATAATGTTGTCTTGTCTTTAAATTGTAAGATTTTTTGTACTATGTCCCGGTACAAGGACCCTGTCTTTTGTCAGCGAATCAGTCGCCTACCTCGTTCTGATACTAACGCCCCCAACAGACATACATCTGTAATTCTTAAACGCTTGTTTCAATGGTAGTAACCAACCTGCTGTCTCAATGTATAGAGTGTATGTCTGATTGTGTGTGCCGTGTCAATAGCTGACGTGGATATAACGCGAAGATATTTTCATACACCAAATTTATCTTCAATTATTAATTCAAATCGGAACACATATTTCTTATACAAAATATCATCGCATTTACGTGAAAATTCTATTCCTCGGCGATTTCCTCGAGCCGAAATCGATTGATCATCACTTAAAAACGGCTTTCACTAGATAATAACCCAGATATCTTATCAAATACTACTCTTGGGGCATTATGCGACAATTTTAATACGATCCATTGCTGACCATGAGAGTGGGAGCAAAAATACATTAATTGGGCACCGACTTTGCAAAACTCGTGAAAGCATCGGTAGTTCTTAGCTTGCATTGAACTTTCGCGTTGTTTTTCCTCGGTTAACTGTGCTACGTGATGCAAACAAACTGGCCAGTGTTTTGTTCAAGAAAATCAGTCTTTATGAGTATAGACCCTGTTCAGGTTATTCGGTTATATGATTCATTGACAGGTAGGAGATATCCCATATTGGGCCCCGTTTCCTCCGTCGAATAATTTAACCAATAGAAACGTCCGTTACATATTGACTTCAGTGGTGAGTACTTCCTTTCCAATTTTGCTCACACACCCAACTTTGAAGTCTTCGGCATATAAATTTCGCCCCAGAACTGCCGCCTTTCCATGCAATCATGATTTTGCTGGAAATACAGAATCGTATTGTAGAAGAAACACTCACACTGAAAATCAAGAATGCCTTAGAAGGGTAAGTAATTGAAATATTGAAAATATTAGTCACCGGTGTTAAACTGACTTCCGTCTTCATTGAGGACAGTGTCGCCGAGCTAAAGAATATACAACTGAAGTATAACAGCAGATAACCATCGATACGATATGTTATTGTTGTTATGCTATTTAAAACAATGACAACTATCCTACCTAGTAGGTTTTCTTTTATCGCCTGATTTTACACCGTCATGAAGTTATTTCCTTCCCTTTTCCTGTTTGTTTCTGTAATATGAAATTTAACACGGCCGATCACATGATTATGTTCAGTGCATACACAGACTTTGCGTGGAGATACTCTAACAATATATGCACAGTATAGGTTTTATTATGAAATTCTCAATTCTGCGATTTATTTTTCACGTTTTTTCTCTTTGTGCGTGTTAAATAATGGTATGAAAATAATTTTCATTTCAGTGGTAAACCTGAAGCTATTGACATAACTATTGCAGGTAATGTATAATTTATCTTTCAGACTGAAGGTTTCTGACTATCAATCTGTGATTCTATTTCTGTCTTGGTTGGGGTTAATTATCAGAATTTCTCCTTATATAAAAAATGCCAAAGTTTAGTAACTTGTGTATGGGTCACCATTCAGGCAATGTTTTATACAGTATACAAAGGACAATAGTTGTGAATCATTCATTGATGGAAACATAAAGCGTTCTACTAACATTCATATGTGAAAAAGTAATAGAATGTTGCCAATTAAGTATTTCTACTCATTTTTCTTAACAACTTTACTTTTCAGCATATTTACAATGGCCAACACTATACAGTCTCTCTCTAGACTTGTTCTTGTAAGCCTATTATTTCCGCTAATCTCATGAGAGTTTACTTTGTGATAGATTTACAAGGATAACTCTAGAAAGGTTCAGTACAGTGGCAGTCATTGTAAATATGCTTGAAAATAAAGTTGTATGGAAAATTAATGGAAATACTTAGGCATCAGTGTGAATCTGCTACCTTGGTCTCTTTACAGCAGTGACCTTATTAATTTGACAATTTTCCTTTATTAGTGGCATTTGCATGAAATATTCCAACAAAAGAAAAAATCTAAAATACCTGAGAAGAACCTAGCTAGAACACATTGTAGCTTCACATTACTAAAGGAAGTATTTCCTTATCAGCCATTGACACATATCAGAGAAAATATGATGTCAAATATTCCATCAAGTTAAAGAAAACATCAGAGAGAAGTTTTGATTTCAGCCTAGGTATATAGCATCTCTCTAAGAATACAATTTCTATTCTGTTATTTTGTGAACGTAGATGGTGAAATATCTAGGAGAAGGGTAACTTTATCAACAATCTTGAAACTTGAACTGAATAGTTGTGGTAAGATTTATTTTTTATCTTCAATAAAACATCAGTTCTGAACTCCTCGTGTAGGCACTCATAAAACAAGTTCTCTTATATGTAATACTTGGCAACTAAGGCAATGATAAACGTCTTACTTAATGAATCTAATTTTTTTTCTCCGTTTCAGATTTTGATGGTGTCTTATATCACATATCAAATCCTGAGAATGACAAGTCCAAAGTCAGAGTAAGAAGATTCCATAGTTTTTCAAACTGTTCTTGTTCAACAATATTACAGTTCAAACTGCCATTTTCAATGAATTGCTGATGGCATCATTTTAATTTTCCTTTTTTTTACATTCATCAACGACACAAATATTATGGTATACTGTACGTGTCTGTGTCGAAAAATGAGTCATGACATTATTACATGTTTGAAACTTAAATTTTTTGCAGTAATTTTTGGTTAAAGTTTTGGAGCAGCTTTTTTTCACGGGTCTACAGTTCAGTCAGATACTTTGTTATTTTCCTAATTCTTAGCATGGATGTTAATATGGGGACTAACCATAACAAAATGGATTTGATTTATGATTTTTTTTTTTAATTTCTTAACCATTTGAAACTTTACATTTTATTGATCCTGGCTGACCCCCAAGGGCTGGTGGGTGGGTCAAAAAGGGTTGATTGGTCTTAAATTTACAACAAAAAAAAATTGTCAACACCCAAATATGGTAGAATCAAACACTCTTCCTTGTTGGAAGGATCTTAAGGTGTTTTGTGGAAATGGTGAATTTCATGACCTCTGGGTCTTGTTTTTCTCCCTGGGAAGGAGGTGAAGTTTACTATAGTTTTTACAGGAAAATTATTTTTTTTAGCATAATGTTATTTCTCATTGGAAATATCTTGGTAAGAATAATGAGTATAGGATGACAGTTTTGATGGTATGCATATATTGACATTGGATTTCTATCATCAATGTCATGCAATTCATTTTTCATGGAACTTGAAAGCTACTTACCCTTTAAGCTTTATATTCAGTATTGCTTATCTCAGGTGACTCTCAAGGCCCCTAGGCCTCTTATTACTGTGCCCTAAAAAATGAGTGAAATTGGCAGTTTGAAAATCTTCTTGATAAAGAAAAAGCCCAAAAGTGTGTCTAGTTCATTGTGTCTTGTTTTTATGTCAGTTATCGTGAACTGTAAATGGTAAAAGACAGAACCGTAAAAACTTTGTCATTTTGATTTGTGTTAATAGAACATATGTTTATGATTATTTGCAGGTCAGCATATCATTGAAGTTCTACAAGGAATTACAGGAACATGGAGCTGATGAGGTGTGTTATTTTATCCTTTCTACATTCAGTATCAAAAGCTGATACTGTAATTATACTAAGGAGTATTACAAATGGAATTAACCTAGAATCAATTTCTGTGCAATTCTATGAGGGCAGAATCTCTTTAAGATTCATCATAAATAATATGTGATAAGTATGGAAATATCAAATTGTGCAAACCTTGTCTAAATTTCCAGTTTATTTGTAATCATTTGAAGAAAGTTTTCCAAAGCTTCAGATTAATCATGATAAACTTGATCATTTGTCTTGGTAAATACATCTTTTTTTTCCTGGAGACTATTATGTAACACAATGCTGATTACCTCTTTAATGGAATGTGTTTACATTTTATTTCTGTGTGTTAAAGTCTTTTATACATGATACTGTTTTTCAGAAATTGTTGTTAAATGTTGTATGTAATAATAGTTAACTAGTATTATACCGATTTCTTACCTTCTCCTTGTTAATGACAATTATATAGAATGTCATATATACATATCTTTTACGAGCCTTTGATGTGGTCAATATTTTTCTACCAGGTTGATATAACACAATATTGACTGAAATCAAAGGTCCTTAATTTTAAATCATATTTGTACCAGTAATTTAATAACTACCTTGTGTATATTCATAAAATAAGTCTGGTATACATATGGTTTGGCTGTTCCAAAATTAAAAACTTGGGAGTCTATATGGCAATTGTTTATCTATTCAGACCAAGAGGAAATCTTTACATGTGTCATATTGTATATTATTTTTCTGATATGATAAATGAAAACCATTAAACTTACCATTGTTTCTGTTTACAGTTGATAAAGAGAGAGTATGGGTCCCTGCTGGTGCAAGGAGAAGATGGTATGTTATTATGGCAGAATTTGTTTGGAGATCCTGTCATTATTGCCTGTTTAAGAATTTCTCTTTTACCACAAGGATATGATTTGTGTTTGATAGATATAGTGTTAACTATAGGAATACAATGATACAAAGAAGTCAAAGAATTACAAAATCACAAACAACTTTCCACAGGAAGCCATCATCAATAGAAGGGGAAACGAGTCTCTGATGACCAGGATTACATGTACACATCTCTGACTACAGGGAAGGATTGATTCAGCACTAATAATAAAAGATGGAACACAATGTTGATTTTCTCACTGATTGTTGTCCTCTTTTGTCAACAGGGTACGATGTGTCGTTGCTTTTTGATTTGGAGAAACTGCCAGATGATTGGGAGGAAGCCGTACAGAAGGCTGGACTTCTCAAGAGAAATTGTTTTGCATCAGTGTTTGAAAAATATTTCGCTTTTCAAGAAAAAGGAGAGACTGGAAATAAGCGAGCTGTGATACCATACAGAGATGATGAAACCATGTAAGAATGAAAGATTAACTTTTCTTCTATAGCAATAAGAATTTACACACAATTAATGGTAAAGTCATATTTTAATTTTGACTCTAATCATTTTATAAGAGGCAATAAATGTGAAATGGGTGTGTTTGTTGCTTAATTTGATAATTACTTTGTAAATATATTTACCATGTCTTCTGTTGCAACAAGTTGTGTTGGTTTCCTTGGAAGATTCCTAAAGGTTTCCCTTGTACAGTATTATCACAATGTTGTGACATAAAATTTAGACATCTTGTTAAAAATACAAAACGTGGTTCTGTGTTGTAATATGAAAGTACTGAATTTCTTGTCACTGTCCGTTAAGTGTGTCAGCTTTTTAAAATAATTGTCACATATTAACTTGTTTCAGGTATGTGGAAGCGCTAAAAGACAGAGTCACCGTGATATTTAGTACGATTTTTAAAGATGATAGTGATATAATTATAGGCAAAGTATTTATGCAAGTAAGTATCAAACAATTTCAAATAGCAACAGTAATTGAAAACTTTATCTTAGGGTCAGTACTTGGATGAAGTAATTATTATTAATAATAACCAATGGTGAACTATAACGTTGTGAAAAAAAATGGAAGGAAACAGGAGTTAACTTAATCATGAGTTAGTGAAGGCATATTCCTTACTTCACCAGTTTCTACAGTGTTGATGCTCCAGGACCATTCCGTGTTTATGGGTTACTAACATTTTACGGAATTATTAGTGCTTACAGTGCTAACATGATAAAAATAAAGTCTTTTGAATTGTAAATTATGAAAGAACATTCTACTAGTTTTTACAACAGTTTACTGTGTACTTGGTATGACACTTTTTATGAATATTTTTTCAGGAATTCAAAGAGGTACGCAGGAAGCATCAACAAGCACCACAGGTGTTATTCACACATCGAGAACCTCCTGCAGAGCTCCAAGGCACACAGGCCCGTACTGGAGACAACATTGGCTACATCACATTTGGTAAGTAATGACATACTGGATTGAAATCAAACAACTTTTGAAGGTTATATTTTGGTGAGAGAAAAAAATGGTATTTTCTGAAGAATTTCTCTATGTCTTCAATATTACATGCTTTTTAAACATTTTGACATTATGTTAGTAAGAATGTCTTTTCTTCTGTGAAGGTGTGTTATATTTTTATGGTTTTATGGTTGGAGTTTATAGTTTTATATGCTATCCGCATCTTGTCCTTTATTGAAATCATCACTAACAATTTCCACTTCAAGGATTTCAAATAGAATCACTGGCAGTCAAGTATAGGAAAACTAACAATTGAATTATGTTTCAGGTTTTGAGGTTATTTTTATTGAGTAGGTGGCATTAATTTTCAACGCATGTTTAGTTTGAACTTTGTTGAATAGTTCGTTAGTAGGCAGAGACATATTTAAAAAATATTCCAGTCACACTGTGGAGACCGTTTACATGAGATTCCCTTACCTTTTATGTAAATATCGCCTGAATTATTGTTTACAGTGTTGTTTCCTCGTCACACAAAGCCTGACTGTCGAGACAATACAATCAATCTCATACACACGCTGAGGGACTACCTTCACTACCACATAAAATGCTCCAAGGTAAGGCCCACAGACTCTTGTCACTGTAAAATCTCTATCCTTATCAGTTACTTATCATTACCTTCAAATCTGCTAAATGTGTTTCACTCTTAAAATATCTGCAGGTGGAGAATGCATAAAATTTTTCCTGGATAGTATTTGCTTTTCACTTACTGGAAATATGCTGATAATGTGTTTTACCCAAATCCTGGTTTTTTTCAGAGAGATAAATAACTATTACATGATATTGTTTAACCTTTGTTATGTTGTTTGCAGGCTTACATTCACTCTCGCATGAGAGCAAAGACATCTGACTTCCTCAAAGTGTTAAACAGAGCTAGACCAGAACCTCAGAAGGATAGAGAAAGGAAAACAGTCACGTATGTATACCTAGTTATTTAATCATGATTTATAGTTGTCTGTCAGTGACAAACCCAATTTGAATGAAGTACTTGTTTACCTCAAATAAAAGTTAAATTTCCACAAAGCTTTATGATGTAATTGTTAACTAACACTAATTACGTACTTGTCTACCTCCTAGTTTAAAATGAAGAAAAGATGAGCAAAGTACCAACAGAAACTATCTGAAGATGTTTAAATATACCTAGCTGGCAAGGAGACATCAGATCTTGTTGTGATCAATGTTTTTGATATTACAGACAAATTTACTGTACCAGTATCTAGTTAACTAAAACTGCAACATTATTTTTTGCAGAGGAAAGACTTTTAGGCAGAATTAAGGTGCAAAGAACAATGCAGAGATTGGCGATATTCTAATGTGCATGATGATGAAGGACAAACAGACTTGGTGGGGACTTGGTGTTATCTCCCTTGCATGGGAGGTTGACATGAATGAGAGTGGGAGCGAGGGTACATGTGGAAGCTGATTGAGATAATGTGTCTGTTTCTCTTGTTTTACTTGTCTCTTTAGAACATTCCTTTATATGGTATTATAATCATTCAAAAATATTTGTTATCTCCTGAGTTCTAAAATAGCTGAAGTGCTAATGAAAATGACATCAGTATGTAAAGTGTAAGTATTGCGTTCCTGAGATTGGAGGAGAAAACTTCCTACCCAATACAAATAGAAAGAACTGATATCCCAAAGGATATACAAATTTGGTTCTAGGGATTTCTATAATACCCTAAAAAGATCTAGTGTAATTAAAAGTTATTTCATTAAGAGTGAAAGAAAATGTGATATTTACATAGGTCCTAACATATCTTTATTACATAAGACATCTATATACTAGATGCATATTATTAGATGTTAATTTTTAAATTGTCTGGAAAATATATAATGTGCTAATTCCAGGGATGCATTTTTGTGAATATACTCTTAAGGATATCTAGAACATATTTGTCATGCAAGTTAGTATTGTATATAATAAACAATATATGACAACTAAGCCAGTATATTTAGATCAAGAAATTATGAGACGAGAAATTGGGTGTTATCTCTTAGTTATTTCATAATTATTTACAGGAAATTGTAGCATTAGTTGTGAGTAGATGAATTTGTGGATGACCTTTTCCAAAACTGATTGTTTGCAGATTGATTAATAAAGAGAGTATGTTGGTCTGTTGATAAGTTACATTTTTAGACCCGCATTTCATAGTCCCTGTGGCAAAATGATTTAAGGCAAGGTGTTTTCTTTCACAGATATTTCATATCAATGTATTTTACACCAGTTACACAAAAATACGCATTACAGATAGAACACTCTCTGTACCTGTGTTTTATTATTATTATTATTATTTGCTATATGCCAGAGACATAGTAATGAGAAAAGATGATATTGTGTGTGAGAAACATTGTCCCATTGTTGCAAAATTGGGTACGAGAAGTTTTTGCAGACATAACTGATGATGATGTGGGCAAGCTTCTGGCTGCAGTGAATGTGATTTACCTTGATATCAGTTTCTGATTATAGTGTAATTAATATATGTATTGGAATTAAATTCATTTTGTTTAATACTTAAACAAACATACAAATCATATGTACAATTTTATGTTTTTCAAGATATGATGTATGATTTTCCTAGCAGAAGGACACTGTTTGTGATAGACTAGAAGACATTTGAGGGCTTACTGTAAGACTCTACTAGTACTAACCTGCAGGCAGATTTAACAAAATCACATTAGCCAAACTATACTTAATGCTAAAAATTAAAAAAAGATAAAATATGTAGAGGCTATGCTTTTTAAGCCATTAACAAAGGACTAGGCGCTAGTGAAGTAATCAAGGGAGGTAATCAAAATCAACGGTGACTGTTGTAGAACAGTTATACTTGTGTACAGAAATTAAACAGCATTTATATTCAACTCTCTGAAGACTTTTATTGTGTATGACAAATGTAATTCTGAACAGAATGTTTATGTTTCATGTGAAGTTCAGGGGTATGCATAGCCAGACCTTAGTTAGTGATGAGAAACGACACTCGGAAAATAAACAGATGTGTGAAGTTACACACATGACTTGAAATCGTATCTAGTGCTATCTGTGTATCACAGAATAAGTTGTCTCAAAAAAATATGATAAATGGGCATATAAATGGGTTTTGTTTTGAACTTCTAGTTGGAACATTTTTCTGAAACTCAAATTTGATCTCGAGGGTTCATTTTAGGAGAGAGTTTTTTCAGTGTCCAAAAAAGTCTCTGTCATGTTAGTATTTTGGAAATATAGGGAAAATAGTCTTGTTTAAAGTTTTTAAATGGTGTCTGAACAAAATAGGAGAGGCAACTGTTCTGAGAAAAAAACCACCTTGTGCCATAACGGAACCTCAGATGTTACTGCCAGGATAGATTGATTGGTTTAATTTCTAGTTTGTCTCTTTGTTTTTAAATATGGAATGATGCAAGTAAGAGTGTTTAAAAGAATACATGCAGGTCTTTAGTGTCAGGTTTTACATGTACATTTTGAAATTCTTTCTTTTGGTATTCCTTCTGTATAAGCATTTCATAATCCTGTTGAGACATTATTATTGAACATTTTCAAAAATTAATCAACAGTGATTATTTGAAATCACTGAAATGATTGCCAGAGTAGACAGTTTGTTCCTGAAATTTCATCCATTGTTAAATAAGATGAAATTTCATTAATTGAAAGCTGAAATGAGATTACATCAATTGACTGTTGAAATGAAATTTCATCTATTGACGATTGAGTTGAATTTCATTAATTGACAGGTGAGATGAAATTTCAAAAATTGACTGTTGAAATGAGATTTAATCAATTGACAGTTAAAGAAAAATTTCATTAATTGATGGTTGAGACAACTTTCATTAATTGACAGTTGAGATGAAATTTCATTAATTTGCAATTGAGAGGGAAATTAAAAATTTGACAATGGGTATGTTAAGTATGTCTGTTTGTTGGAAAGGTGGTTCATAGTAAGAGATGAAGTGCTATTATTACATAGTTCTTCTTTGTTCTAACTTATACTGAAATTGTACAAACTTTTGTATTATCTCCATAAGACTGAGCTTCGTTCATACATAATATGCTAATCAATCAGTCTCATTTTATTTCAATAATAAATTTATGATATTCTCTTCATGTTCTTGGAGTTATTTGAGTCTTAAAATCCATGAAATGAGGGCAAAGTTTTAACAAAAGGAATTTACTAGACTCCTGAAAATAAAAGCCAGTGTTCTGGGAGTGAAATTGCTTCTGCTTTATCAAGGAATCTTGCTTTAAAGAAAGACAATTGACAAAATCTGAAGGAACAATAGTAGCTTTGTTTGACATTAACCTTTTTTGAGACATTCAATGCAAATATGTTTTAGTATAATTTCTGAAGAATTTTTGTGTCAAGATAAATTGTTTCTCAATTATTATATACACCAGATAATGTTGACTTCTCCGTGGTTATATGGTAGATAATTGCAGATTACCATTAGGATGAACCTTGACCCCTATCCTACCAGTTTTGATATGGTACTATATAGCATGGTGAAGTTTTGGATTGGGATAAGGTTCCCCCTATGGTAGGTATAGCAATCTTCCCATGTCTCTCTGTTCAAGACAATGTCAGAATGATGGAACTGGAATGAAATAAAAGCATTGGGAATTACCAAATATAAATGTGCTGGATTTCCATCCACATACCAGAAACATTTTGTCCTGGTCCAATAACATCTTCCTCTTGTGCTCTATATATTGTCAATTTTAAGGACGTTTGAACCAAAGGGTAATGATGATCTATAACCATTGTGCTTCATCTGCTGTTTGCTGTGCGTAACCTTTTTACATTTTAAAATCCTCAAGTTCCAATAGTGGGATCGATCTCCAACTTGTCTGAAATGGTCCTAATCAAGTGTTGCTATTTTTTTAGGTTGGTCTGAAATCCAAGATGGCTGCCATGGTCACCATCTTGAAAAGCATATCTTAAATTTCTTCTCGAGTTCCACTGGTGCTATTGAGCTAAAAATTGGTTGGAATGTTAAGGAAAGGTAGCCAACAAAGTGTTGTTATTTTTCGACCTTGTCAAAACTTTGACATGGGAGGCCATTTCGTAACATGAATGTGCAATCATGGTTTTCCTGTGCAACAACTTTTTCAAACTTCTGAAGTTTCACCAGTGGAATTGAGCACAATCTTGTCTGAAATGATCCTGACCATGTGTCATTTTTCAGGTTTGTCTGAAATTCAAGATGGCTGCCATCTTGAAAAACATTTTAGTTGGATTGAGCTCCAATGTTACTGTCACAAAATAGGTAACACTTGTTCCAGTTCCCTTCTCCTCGCCAAAACTACCATCTGCTTAATGGAAAACAGCTTCTTAGTAAGGTATCATTCAAAGTTGAAAAAATAACCCTTCTCTCCCTACTGAAAGTTTTTGTCAGGTGACCTTAAGGCTGAGTGCATCTTGATAGCTGAATTGGCCTGTGTTGGTATAGACAGACCTTATAAGTCACATACACCACTAAGAGTCTTGAAAGAACAAAACTGTGATATGACAACTATACAATATTCGGTATAGATGTTTATTGTATGTACTACTGCAAGAGTAAATGTGCAAAAGTTGACGGACAGTTTGGTTTATTGTTGTTTTATGTCCTATTAACAGCCAGGGCCATGGATGTGCCAGGATTGGGGTGGTCTAAGAAAGCCGGGGTTTCCGGAAAATAACACCGACCTGTGACCACTACCTGGCAACTGTCCCAAGTAAGCCTTGAACCCGCATCTCCGAGGTGGAGGGCTGTTGATAAAGACGGTTATACACCTTCACTTCTCGGCCATCGTGGCCGCTTAACGTCTGAATGGACCGACGGACGCCCTCCGTTATATAATCAATAATCCGACCTTATAAATGGAAAGAACTCCGTAATTTTCCAGAAATACAGCATCAATAACTGCACACGCATCCATTAATCAGACACTGAAAAAGTACAAAAATAACAGGATTTTCATCAAGTTAAACAATTTAAAAAGTCTCTTTTTCTCAATATCACCAGAAATTACATGGGAGTTTAAAAAAGGGGAATATCGTTAAAACTAGGTGGAGGATATCTTGGTACTGGACATAGCTGTACCTGCTATGAAATCAACAATTAGGCGCCGTCATCCACGGTGTCCGCCTTTGTTTTATGTTCCAAGTCTCGGATGTTGTGTTTGGCAATGTTACAGAAAAAAAACATTGAAGAATTCGATGAAATACTCCAGGCGGGATTGACCTCTCTTCCTTTTTATATATGATGTATCTGTTCGTCTCTCGCTTTCATGTTTTCTTTTTCTTGATCTATTTTTGTGTCGAAGAAATACAGACTGAAGTGTAAGTAAGCGTGCGTCTATCTTTTGGTTCACGACGAACATAAACATTAATATTGCTGTGTTGAAATTAATGGAACGCATTAAGGAACGAACATTTTAATACAAGATTATTTACAACGCATGCCTTTGGTAATATAAATGATACATTGTTAGATATTCTATAACCTTCTTGTACAACATTACAAACACTGTCTGTGTCCATGATACTACTGCGGCAGTTTATTAATTCTTCAAAAATATTGTATTATGTCGGAAATACATTGACAGTGTTTTTAATGTAAACACGAGCCATACTGAAATACCTTATTGAATGACACTGGTATCAACACTGTTATTGAAAATGAAATGACATGCCGACGAGTATCACTTCAAGAAGTAGGAAGGACTCCGAGACAGACAATGGTGCCAGCCATATTTAAATGGAGGTTAGTTACCCGATAGTTATTTCTGTTATCATAAGTATTATAAAATTTGCACTTCTGCAACACTTTCGATACTGGTCGTCGACCTGTTTTTGCCAAGTACCAACTCGCCGATGCCTTGTGGGTGATGTTTGTTAATTTGTACATAACTTGCGACTTTTCCAGAATTTTTAAAGCAAAGTTTTTGCATTGTTAGTAAAAATCTTCGTGTCGAAATATCACGATCTTACCGACGAAACGTGGCTGGTTTTTTTTATTCTTGGCGAGGATGACGGTTGACGACTAGTAAATCTTTATTTGATTCAGGTCATGTAACCTAATGTGAAACAAGGATTTTATTTCTGTTTTTCTGGTTTAATTCATCACTTACAATATACAAATATGGGTTTCAGTTCACAGATGAAAACAAATCATCTAGAAGTCATTGTTTTCACGGTAATCTTATATGCTTTACTTACGTTTCCATGGTTATTGTCCATTTACAAGGGTCGTTTGCTGACCTAGTTTCAGTTAATTAAAAACTTACCATTGAGCTTATACCTTCATACTTACCATGGAAGCATCTTTGCTCTTTGTTTCTCAAAATTCGAATGCTTTAAAACTTTTCAACTTGCTGGCTTTGAGTGAAAAAAATAAATGCACGCATGTGCAATAATAAGAAATCAACACCGTGAAACGGTTATCTGTAAGAATGTTAGAAAGACAACAAACGGGCTTCGATTGACTGATGTCACGATCGTCCTTAGGCGAGGTCCAGTCAAAATATCGATTTCATTTATTAATTGACATCTCCCTAGAAACACAGAGGACAAGATGGAAAAATTGGTGTGGATCGGAGAGTGATTTATTTTCTGTAAACTCAAAGCTTTATTTTGTATAGTTTGGGGAGTACCTTATACTCAATCTGATGCGTTCAGACACCCACAGAGATGATGTTTGGTATTGTTTTGTATTTCAGCGAGGCTGTGAAAATGTTGGCAGTAGGTTTCAATGTTTGTAGTATGGTCCCTTCTCAGTTTGGTCGGAAGCTTGTACATCGCTGACCTCCCAGTGATGGCTAGGTTGTATCATTTGACGGGACACTTTATCCAATCAGCCCTATATAACATGCGATGGTCGTCCCGCATGATGTTCAGTGATATAACAACCACTACTTCAAGGATATCCTGTCACAAAATGACACTGTCTGTTCCCGAGCCGACAACGGTCTGGTGCTAGATAGATGCTTTCAACTTCTATTTCCGAAAAGTTTAATTCAATATATTTCATATCACATGACCTGTCATTACAATGTATATCTGTCTCATGTTGCGCTCTTCGTAGTTAACATATAACATATACGAATAAATAACAGAACTTTTTCACGTTTAGTTATAATAAGTGCCACAATGTATGACCGAATTCTAAACCAAACAAAACATTTTACAGATTGCACCTAGTTAGACCAAACTCCTATGCCCCGTGCAATAGAAAGTGAATGCGCCATTTAAATACATACATCTGTATATCGGTTTGTTATTTGAACAAGAGGTTATTACGTGCTATATCAAGCAGAGAAAATCTGGTCGAAGGTTGAAGAAAATTGATAACCTTTTTATCATAGATTGAAAATCGAACGAATTGGTTACTGCAAATTCAAAAATCTTAACCGAAATATCAGCACAATGATAAATACAGATGTCAGAATTTGTTTTCTGGTATTTATAGGCTGTACACTTTACGTTCTAAAGATGTGAATAAGTCAGGATATAGATATAGAGAAATAAAGACCACATGGTTTTTTTCGAAGTTACGCTTTTGGTATAGTCCAACAGCACCACATTGGTTCGAGACGAATGAACATTGAACCATATCATATACCATATGACGTGTTTATATGAACATTGAACCATATCATATATCACATGACTTATTTCTATGAACATTGAACCATATTATGTATCACATGACGTATTTATATGAACATTGAACCATATTATACATCACGTGACGTATTTATATGAACATTGAACCATATTATACATCACATGACGTATTTATATGAACATTGAACCATATTATGTATCACATGACGTATTTATATGAACATTGAACCATATCATATATCACATGACTTATTTCTATGAACATTGAACCATATTATACATCACATGGCGTATTTGTATGAACATTGAACCATATTATGTATCACATGACGTATCTATATGAACATTGAACCATATTATGTATCACATGACGTATTTATATGAACATTGAACCATATTATACATCACATGACGTATTTATATGAACATTGAACCAAATTATACATCACATGACGTATTTATATGAACATTGAACCATATTATACAACACATGGCGTATTTATATGAACATTGAACCATATTATGTGTCACATGACGTATTTATATGAACATTGAACCATATTATGTATCATATGACGTGTTTATATGAACATTGAATAATATTACGTATCTGTCCCAGTAGTACTGGTGTCTCTTTCAAGATATATTTCAAGTCCAAGCAAGTTAATGCTTGCATATGAAGCTTCTATTCGTTGTAATTGAAACACTTTTAAAGTTGGTTGCCTGAAGTTCCTGTGTAAGTAAAGCAGTACTTTATTTCTTGTAATGATTGAAATCCTTTGTTTTAGATGTCAACCGTGGTACAAAAAAAAATCTGTATTTACGATACTTACCATAAAACACTTGTACCCTTACCACACCAGGAGATATTAAAGAGTTTTGTGAGAGCCTAGCACATTTTCCCTGTGGAAAGGTAAAATACACAACACCTATTATACATCATTGTCTTAGCTACCGATTTCATGAAGGATCACATTGCTGCCTGCGAATTCTTTACTCACAGTACCTTGTTGGAGATATATAACCCCGGTGAGTAGGTAAAATGGACAAAAAATGAATATAGAGAGGTGATACATCCTAGTCCTGAAAGGTCAATCAGTCAGACTGGTTGAGTAGCGAGTGACTGCCGTCTGTAGGAAGTAGTCCCTCTTCTTCTTAACTCATCAAACGGTGGATGAAGTTAATACAAAGTGGCAGGGAGAGTTAAGATGATGACTCCTGATCAGGACGTCCATCACCTAGCTAGTGTTGGCCCGGAAATCACTGACACTACACAAACACTAGTGATATGACACCACCATATTACTTATTATGAGTAGGTAGAAGTAGCAGACATATATATTACTCGTCATATTTCATCATAAACTACACAACATGTGCAAGATAGGTCCTAAAAATGCTCTTGGATGACATGAATCATTGGAGAGACATCATCAGCGGAACCTTACTAACTCGATACAACGCCAACCCAGACGATTTTCTTTTCAGAGTTGTTATATGTGATAAAAACTGGCTTTGTCGTAATGACTCGGAGAATGCACAGGAATTAATGAAATGGAAACAAGCCACATTAATTAAAAGACCCCGTGTCCACCAAGAACGGGGACAGTATAGGGGTGTTTCACACCGACTACCTGCCCCATTAGAACCATAATGTATGTAATTTGCCGAACAGGTGCGTCATTCAATCGAGGAGAAACACCGCGGAAAATTCGTGGGAGAATCTGTTTCACTAAGACTGCAATGGAAGCTGTGCCCGACTTCTTTCTCCAGACCTAGCTCTAGAAGACATCCTTCTCTATACCAGTCTGAAAATAATACCATTTAGAACAGGCGATTTGAGGATGATTAGCTGAGTACTGTTGTGGAGGGTTGATTAGGGAACCAAGATGTTGAGTTCTACCGATCGAGTATCAATGACTGCACAAACTGGACAGAATAAGCGTGTGGAGTTCGAAGGGGACTATGTTGAAAAAATAAAGCCGTATAAATCTAAATATCTCGCTCATTCTTTGTGAGACTCCATTTTGATATCCCTTCGTATGCTCATTTGACCCAGTGTGAAGAGAAAAATGTTCCTTTTCTGTAATTAGTTTCAAAGTGTCTGTAGCATTCATCAAACGAATCACACGTTTCAATGGCGAAGTACAATGTTTCACATTGACGGTCAACATCAATTTTGGATTAATATTATATAACGTCAAAACCCTTTTGTACTTATGGGCAAAGATGATTTTCATCCAAGTGCAGAACATTGCACAATAACCCACAAATCCATACCATGGATAAGGCCAGAATGGCGATCGGTACTACCGCTCAGTGTGTTTTGTCATCGGCGTCTTGATATGTCCCCTCCGGACCACGTACACGCCAATTCATACATTTTAACCATATAAGTAATAGAAAGCGCAATATTTCAAATGCAAATGTTCCCATTTATTTTCCATCAAAATTGAATGTTCCTAGCATGCTTTCCATAATTCCCCACGTTACACTTTAAATGTGTCTAAATACGTTGTTTTCCTTCATTTCTTGATCCCGAAGAAAGTCAAACAACATTCCCAGACAATGTGATTTTCGTAGACGTTTTGCCCGTTCCAATCATCCGTCATATATTTTCCTTTAAGTTACAGTATAATTACGATGTATTTCAGAAATCAACGTTAATATGTACATATAAAGTTCATATATGAAATTAAATTTCCACATGTTTCATTTCTCGTTACATATGTGAAAATAAATCCAAAATTAAATGACAGCATTACTTGTGTATGTAATTCTAAAATCAAATAAATAGATAAATAAATTCGTTTAAAAAGTGCTTAGAATAGTTTTGGTTTTATTTTAATGACCTTCCACCGGGCATAGAACATGTCACAATTTTTGAATCAGAGCGACACATTTCCAATTCCTAAAAATACATAAACCGTGTAATCTGCTTCATGCACGTGCTTATAAACATATATGATCACAACCGGGCTACACAGACAGGTAAGACAGACAGACTCACAAACAATCTTATATGTTATAATGTTGCTGCCTTGTTTAAATTATTACTCAGATATTACACGTAAACGAATGGGCCAGGAATGCTACATTGCATCGCAGCCACCGATAGCGGAAATATAACAAGCGCGTGATTCTACGCACGCGGTGATGTAAATTTCTGCCGTGTGTTACAAACAACGATACTGAAAAACAACATGTGCTCATACAGTGCAAGTCCAAACAATCGCCTGACTCCATTTCGAGTAGAACTATCTTCATGTGTGTTCCGAAGTCTTCTTTGTTGCAGTTTAAGTGAGTGGATATATAATGCCATTGTGATAATTATTAGCATCATAACAGTCTCTTAGATACCTGTACAATGCATTTTCTGTATGTAGCCGGATGCACGTGAGCTAATACAGACAAAGTTCACCGTCCCGGGGCCAGTGGTTGTAAATCGACAATGTACAAGTTTATCAGGGGAGGGGTTCTGTCCAAAAAGGGTGAGATTAAGTGGATATCAAATTTTACTTACATTGTAAAAATTTAAAAAGAAGAAAAAGAAATGCAACAAAAAAACAAAACAGATTTCTTTTTGTCCGGATTTGGATTAACCTGCATTTAGTTCTACACCCTCTTTTTCTGAAGCTTAAAGTTTGAAAGGCTTTTAGCATGCAAGAGTAAAAGAAAATATTGAAATTGTTTCATATCTTATATTTAAAGATTCCTTGCAATTAAAAGAAAAAAAATGCCTTAAATGGAATTAAGAAAAGTGAGAAAAAAGACAAAAATATTATTAATGTTGCTATTGTTGGTATGTTTTTAGATCTAGATAGTCCATTGAAGGAAGTAAATGGAGGAATTCCCTTCAGAGGATTTGTATGTGGAAAGTTTCAGCCTTCCACAGGATTAGTGTCTCTACTGGACGCAAACATGGATGGAATTCCTCCACCAGCTCCTTATGCTGACAAGCCAAGTCGGAGAGATCGGTATAGAAGGATTAGGACAAGGGCCACCAAGGAACAGGGATATGGAAACCATTCAGGAACAGATTTTATCCGGGCAGTAGGACCTTCACTTTCCTGTCCAAATAGTAAGTGAAGTTTGTTATTTCCTACAACTAACCCCAAAATGTCTGCATTTGATGACATTTTAAATTTCAGATGATGAAGTAATGTTTTGAATTTCAGTTGATGAAGTGATGTTTTGATTTTCAGTTCCTCACAATACTATGTGCATGTTTTAGTTAGCATGAAATATGTTTGTCATTCATACCAACTATAAATGACATATCAACAGTTCATTGCTTATATATTTACATACTGTCTAGGGCTGATCATGACTTCAAATAAAATAAAGTACTGATTATCAGCTGTGTGATCATTCAAGTTGAACAGCCATTTTGATGTTAAGTCATCACCTTTTTCATCCTAATGGTATTGACATTGTAATGATCACATGCTAGGTGGCATTAATTGTACCGTAAATCACACCATTTCTGGTTAGTTTATAAACATATCAAAGGATTGTCATGCAAATGTAGATGTTTTGAATTATTTCAGCTTCCACATCAAAATCTGACTTCTGAAGTAATAAAAGTCCCTGATTTATCTGGATACAAAAGAGTGTGTCTGTAAAGCCAGAAGTCACAGCAGCTTCACAAGGAAACATTTCCTCTTGAACCACAAAGAATAAAGACAGATTCAGGTGTTAGATTTTATTGTATAAGATACAGTTTGTTGAGAAATGATTACATCAGATGTTTTCACATCTTGTGAATGGTAGTTTCTAAGTACTTTATACAAATACATTAATTAATACCTCTAGTTGAGTCAGAAGCAAGTGACTAGATGGTTCACTACTGTGACACATACCTCTGGCTGAGTCAGTAATAAGTGTCTAGATGGTTCACCACTGTGACATATACCTCTAGCTGAGTCAGTCACAAGTGACTAAATAGTTCACCACTGTGACATACCTCTAGCTGAGTCAGTAACAAGTGGCTAGATGGTTCACCAATGTGACACATACCTCTAGCTGAGTCAGTAACAAGTGACTAGATGATTCACCACTGTGACATACCTCTAGCTGAGCCAGTCACAAGTAACTAGATGGTTCACCACTGTGACATACCTCTAGCTGAGTCAGTCACAAGTGACTAGATAGTTCACCACTGTGACATACCTCTAGCTGAGCCAGTCACAAGTAACTAGATGGTTCACCAATGTGACACATACCTCTAGCTGAGTCAGTAACAAGTGACTAGATGATTCACCACTGTGACATACCTCTAGCTGAGCCAGTCACAAGTAACTAGATGGTTCACCACTGTGACATACCTCTAGCTGAGTCAGTCACAAGTGACTAGATAGTTCACCACTGTGACATACCTCTAGCTGAGCCAGTCACAAGTAACTAGATGGTTCACCACTGTGACCTACCTCTAGCTGAGTCAGTCACAAGTGACTAGATGGTTCACCACTGTGGCATACCTCTAGCTGAGTCAGTAACAAGTGGCTAGATGGTTCACCACTGTGACACATACCTCTGGCTGAGTCAGTAACAAGTGTCTAGATGGTTCACCACGGTGACATACCTCTAGCAGAGTCAGTAACAAGTGACTAGATGGTTCACCACTGTGACATACCTCTAGCTGAGTCAGTCACAAGTGTCTAGATGGTTCACTACTGTGACATACCTCTAGCTGAGTCAGTCACAAGTGTCTAGATGGTTCACCACTGTGACACATAATTCTAGCTGAGGCAGTAAAAGTGTCTAGATGGTTCACCACTGTCACATACCTCTAGCTGAGTCAGTAACAAGTGTCTATGTTGAAACGCTGTCAAAATTAACATCCAATTTTAATTGTCAATAATCTTTAAATTTTCAAAGAGATAAGAATGTTGGAAACTGATTTTTCTACCCAATATTTTATTGTGGTTTTGCTCTAGGCTCTCTCATCATCAATTGAAACTCTGATATTTTAGTCATCATTATAAGTGAAGTGTTTTCCTAACATTTCAAAAGGTCTATGAAAATAGCAAAAGTACCAAGAGATCTGGACTGGAGTCTGTTGAGGTAATTTATGGTTTAAATCTCATAAAAATTCTTTAACACGCTGGTGGTAGCTTGAAGGGAATTCAATTAAGATGTGTAAACATCCTTAGGGAAACAAATATACAGATAGGATAAAAACCATAAAAAACAAATATTTCTGGTATAAGATATGTGATCTCTTAACAAATCCATCGAGAAGTGTTTCAAATTGCCACAAAATATCTACAGTAATGCTCTAGATGTGTTTATGTTCTACAGAAATACAAGTCGTTATTACTGTTAGGATTTCAAAAGGAAAAATCTTCAAACAGATTGACGATCAGCTTTGTGTAATGTTTTCTTCATCTTTCTCCTTCCTTTAATGTGTGATCCTCGGCTGTATGTAGGTTTAGAGTTTGAATGCAAAGGGTTGATATATGATAGAAAGTAAAATGCGGTTTGATTATTCTGGGATTGATGCGAGTATTTGAAATATTGAAGATGTAAGGTATAAGCTATTTTAAGAGATAAGGAATTATCTGTAATATTCATATTTGAGTTATCTTTTTGACTCAGATATAGAAAAGTCAGTTTTATACAGTGTAGTAAGAGTTCTTGAATTTTGATGAGAATAAAATCCCTAATGCTGAAGTATTCTTGTCTATTTTCAAAATGTTTGAATATCTATTATGAGATGATGGCCTTTCTATTCAGTGACTACTGTCAAAGAATCAATTTCTTTGAGGCTCAAATTTTATGGTTTTCCAAAAATATGCGTTTTTGTTGGCACCAAACTTTTTTGATAAATGTTGATCACAAAGTTAGCTTATACTACAATCCATGTCTACTTTATCTGTTTATATCATGGACATATAGATGGTGGTTAAGCATAGACCAATGAAAATAAATTCCCCACAAAACTGATTGTTTTTCAGTATATCCAAAACAATTTTGCATGTTGCACATTTGTTATATTACCTACTATGACACGAGGGGTTTGATGATGAAATGAGGTCACATGCTCAAAGATTACAATGTGACGTGACAAAGGAGACTATAGGTACAGGAACAGAAATACATTATTTTCCAGAATAGTCAACCTTGTGATAAAAAGGATCTAATATTCTGTTTCCTTTTGATATGTGGTTTATAAAACTCTTTACAAATTTTTTTATTTTATCTAGCCAAAGGCTTGCTAAACTTAAGCTCCGTTCATAAATTACGTTATTGAATGGAAACTCAATAAGATTTTAAAAGCCTATGAAATTTGGAAGATAATTTTAATGAAGATTAAATTATGATTGCAATGTGTTTAAATTCTTAGGAATGTTTTGAAGATTTACATTTTTTGATTTTTTTTCTGTTTTATCTTACATAATTGATTAGGTTTCCTTGTAAACATATTTTCATAAGTTCTAAAAATTATAATTATCATATAATGTCTTTCAGATGAAAATGTGGAAACTTACTTCAGTAATAGACTTGGATTTAGAAAATGACTTATTTGTTCTTGAATGTCTTTGGCATTCACCACAAAATTTAAGTTATATTTAATATGATGTTTGGGCAGATCAGTGCTAATGACTTTCATGATCAGCAACATCTGGAATGGAAAAGAGAAGAGTTTTATGTATTTGTAATTATAAGCTAACTATTTAGTAGTTAATGGTTTTCATTTAAGCATTAATTCATTCCTATGTCTCAGAAATAGTTTTAAACATAAAAACTATTGATAATTTCATTTATTTTTCCAACTTGTATATTAATTTGTATACATTTTTTTCATTTATAGAAGTTGAGTCATTCCTTGAAGATAGGAATCTTGGATATTATTAGTAGTATTTAGTGAATTTGTAAATGATTTGATTATGAAAGTCATGTTTCAGTGAGTCAGTTATAGGGGAGATATACTGAAGCCAAGGGAGGTAATTCAGTACATCCTCATAGGATGATGCTTGCATATTTCTTTGAGACAAATTAGATAATGGAGAACTATAATATATCAATTGGGAACAGTATGAAAGTTGGACTTCTAATGTCATTCACTTCTGGTGTAGGAGTCTTTATTAATGGAAGTGATAATTTAAATGACTAAATGTGTTAGTAGTGATTAGGTGTTAAGAATTGTAGTGAATAACTCAAAATAGAATGTACCAGGTAGGACTCCTTTATTTTTTTTTTTTTTATTATCTTTAAAAATTTGTTTGATATCTTTCAGATAGTCAAAACTATCTGATTTCTTCTCTGGATAAAAAAAAGGGAAATAAAAAAAATCTTTGTCTAGGCAAGCAATAGGCCTACAATAGAGTGTTATTTATTTGGCTTTGGAATAGTGCTTTGTCGTAAAAGGGAGAAAAAAACATTGTTTAATATGGAATAGATAAAATTTAGTGGCACTAGATTCCTTCAAATAAAATATATCATTGATTACTTATTTCAGAAGATTGAAATCTGTGGTTGTGTTAGTTTTATTGGTCTAACAGAGTAAATAAACATATCTTAAATGACAGTGTTCTTAGGAGTAAATAAAAGGCTTCATTACAGATAATTATTCCAGAAAGTTTGTTCTCAACTAGAAAATAATTGCTGTGGTTTATTTATAATGTTTAGCTACTGTTAAGATTAAGACACATTTACTTTTCCTTCCCAAATCCTGCTGATGTATTACGATAAAAATTCACTAAACAAGACCCAGATATAGAATTTTGTATAAATTTCACAAGAGTGCATACTTCTTACTAGAAGTTTTCTTTGTGCTGTACATGATTTTAGAGATGAAGGATGATGAGGAAAATTTGATTGGTTTAACCTCTCCTGTTTTGAATACCCCACACAGTTTTTACAGAGAATTATCATGAGGAGATATTGCAGTATTAAGAATGCCAAAATCTACAGGATGGATTAGATTTACAAGAGTACAACAACAAGGGTTCAGAATTTTACGGTGGAAATTTGAATTTTATGTTTTAAAGATACAAGGTTATCTGTTTCTCTTTGAATAATTGGAGGTGCTTTCTGATAAATCTTCATAACAAAGATACTGTGTATATTCTGTAAATTGTGTGAAGTGCAGTTTGATTAGAAAATCCTTCCGAGATCCGACTGCATATGAATCACCTGCAGTTCTGTATCACAGGGTGTTTTGAGATAATCAGTATCATATTGCGGTACAATTGTGGCTCCATGCCTTTTTTCAATTTTTGGAAGAAGTCTTCTCTGTTGCATCAGTTCCTGTTGTGTAGACAAAATGTCTGCCACATGTAAACTGAGCTTCACCCTAATGTTTCCTAACTTAGTGAAATGATACTAAAATAGAGTCATTTTCATATTTAGTCATGATGAGCAGCAACGCTGTTTTCTCTTTACAAATCTATAGACAATAATTAGTCTTAACAGTATCAGAGGTACTGTGCCAACTTTCACTTTATACATGTTGTTTGATAAATGTTTCTTGTCAAATTGTAACTGATAATGAAATTTATTTGTGGGAAGTAATGTTATATGTTGATATGAGGTTCTTATTGGTAAAGGCTGAAATGGAGGATTGTAGGAGACTATGAATAAAATGACAAAGTAAACTCTCAAATAGTGCTTTTTTTTCTTTGTCTGGTGTGATAATTTGCTGTTGGCAAGATTTAAACTTTACTTCCCCTCCCAACTCGCCCCCTCACTTTCTGTCTCCACTCTCCTCTCAACTCTACCCCCTCTCTTTCGATCTCCATTCCCCTCCCAACTCGCCCCATCCCTTTACATCTACATCCCCCTCCTAACCTGCCCCCTCCCTTTCTGTCTCCATTCCCCTCCCAACTCACCCCTCCCTTTCTGTCTACATTCCCCTCCCAACTCGCCCCCTCCCATTCTGTCTCCATTCCCCTCCCAACTCGCCCCCTCCCTTTTCGTCTCCATTCCCCTCCCAACTCGCCCCTTCCCTTTCTGTCTCCACTCCCCTCTTAACTTTTCCCCCTCTTTTTCTGTCTTCATTCCCCTCCCAACTCGCCCCCTCCCTTTCTGTCTCCATTCCCCTCCCAACTCGCCCCCTCTCTTTCTGTCTCCACTCCCCTCTTAACTTTTCCCCCTCTTTTTCTGTCTCCATTCCCCTCCCAACTCGCCCCCTCTCTTTCTGTCTCCACTCCCCTCTTAACTTTTCCCCCTCTTTTTCTGTCTCCATTCCCCTCCCTACTCGCCCCCTCCCTTTCTGTCTCCATTCCCTTCCCAACTTGCCCCCTCCCTTTCTGTCTCCATTCCCCTCCCAACTCACCCCCTCCCTTTCTGTCTCCACTCCCCTCTTTACTTTTCCCCCTCTTTTTCTGTCTCCATTCCCCTCCCTACTCGCCCCCTCCCTTTCTGTCTCCATTCCCTTCCCAACTTGCCCCCTCCCTTTCTGTCTCCATTCCCCTCCCAACTCGCCCCCTCCCATTTTGTCTCCATTCCCCTCCCAACTCGCCCCCTCACTTTTTATCTCCACTCTCCTCTCAACTCTCCCCCCTCTCTTTCGATCTCCATTCCCCTCCCAACTCGCCCCATCCCTTTACATCTACATCCCCCTCCTAACCTGCCCCCTCCCTTTCTGTCTCCATTCCCCTCCCAACTCACCCCTCCCTTCCTGTCTACATTCCCCTCCCAACTCGCCCCCTCCCATTCTGTCTCCATTCCCCTCCCAACTCACCCCTCCCTTCCTGTCTACATTCCCCTCCCAACTCGCCCCCTCCCTTTCTGTCTCCATTCCCCTCCCAACTCGCTCCTTCCCTTTCTGTCTCCACTCCCCTCTTAACTTATCCCCCTCTTTTTCTGTCTCCATTCCCCTCCCAACTCGCCCCCTCCCTTTCTGTCTCCATTCCCCTCCCAACTCGCCCCCTCCCTTTCTGTCTCCACTCCCCTCTTAACTTTTCCCCCTCTTTTTCTGTCTCCATTCCCCTCCCTACTCACCCCATCCCTTTCTGTCTCCATCCCCCTCCTAACCTGCCCCCTCCCTTTCTGTCTCCATTCCCCTCCCAACTCACCCCCTCCCTTTCTGTCTCCACTCCCCTCTTTACTTTTCCTCCTCTTTTTCTGTCTCCATTCCCCTACCAACACGCCCCCTCCCTTTCTGTCTCCACTCCCCTCTTAACTTTTCCCCCTCTTTTTCTGTCTCCATTCCCCTACCAACTCACGCCTCCCTTTCTGTCTCCATTCCCCTCCCAACTTGCCCCCTCCCTTTCTGTCTCCATTCCCCTCCCAACTCACCCCCTCCCTTTCTGTCTCCATTCTCCTCCCAACTCGCCCCCTCCCTTTCTGTCTCCATTCCCCTCCCTACTCACCCCATCCCTTTACATCTACATCCTCCTAACCTGCCCCCTCCCTTTCTGTCTCCATTCCTCTCCCAACTCGCCCCCTCCCTTTCTGTCTCCATTCTCCTCCCAACTCGCTCCCTCCCTTTCTGTCTCCATTCCCCTCCCTACTTGCCCCATCCCTTTCTGTCTCCATTCTCCTCCCAACTCGCCCCCTCCCTTTCTGTCTCCATTCCCCTCCCAACTCGCCCCTCCCATTCTGTCTCTATTCCCCTCCCAACTTTCCCCCTCCCTTTCTGTCTCCATTCCCCTCCCTACTCACCCCATCCCTTTCTGTCTCCATTCTCCTCCCAACTCGCCCCATCCCTTTCTGTCTCCATTCTCCTCCCAACTCGCCCCCTCCCTTTCTGTCTCCATTCCCCTCCCTACTCGCCCCATCCCTTTACATCTACATCCCCTCCTAACCTGCCCCCTCCCTTTCTGTCTCCATTCCCCTACCAACTCGCCCCCTCCCTTTCTGTCCCCATTCTCCTCCCAACTCGCTCCCTCCCTTTCTGTCTCCATTCCCCTCCCTACTTGCCCCATCCCTTTCTGTCTCCATTCTCCTCCCAACTCGCCCCCTCCCTTTCTGTCTCCATTCCCCTCCCAACTCGCCCCTCCCATTCTGTCTCCATTCCCCTCCCAACTTTCCCCCTCCCTTTCTGTCTCCATTCCCCTCCCTACTCACCCCATCCCTTTCTGTCTCCATTCTCCTCCCAACTCACCCCCTCCCTTTCTGTCTCCATTCCCCTCCCAACTCGCCCCCTCCCTTTCTGTCTCCATTCCCCTCCCTACTTGCCCCATCCCTTTACATCTACATCCCCCTCCTAACCTGCCCCCTCCCTTTCTGTCTCCATTCCCCTCCCAACTCGCCCCCTCCCTTTCTGTCTCCATTCCCCTCCCTACTTGCCCCATCCCTTTACATCTACATTCCCCTCCTAACCTGCCCCCTCCCTTTCTGTCTCCATTCCCCTACCAACTCGCCCCCTCCCTTTCTGTCTCCATTCCCCTCCCGCCTCGCCCCATCCCTTTACATCTACATCCCCCTCCTAACCTGCCCCCTCCCTTTCTGTCTCCGTTCCCCTCCCAACTTGCCCCCTCCCTTTCTGTCTCCATTCCCCTACCAACTCGCCCCCTCCCTTTCTGTCTCCATTCCCCTCCCAACTCGCCCCTCCCTTTCTGTCTCCATTCTCCTCCCTACTCGCTCCCTCCCTTTCTGTCTCCATTCCCCTCCCAACTCGCTCCCTCCCTTTCTGTCTCCATTCCCCTCCCAACTCGCTCCCTCCCTTTCTGTCTCCATTCCCCTCCCTACTTGCCCCATCCCTTTCTGTCTCCATTCTCCTCCCAACTTGCCCCCTCCCTTTCTGTCTCCATTCCCCTCCCAACTCGCCCCCTCCCTTTCTGTCTCCATTCCCCTCCCAACTCGCCCCTCCCTTTCTGTCTCCATTCCCCTCCCTACTCGCCCCATCCCTTTACATCTATATCCCCCTCCTAACCTGCCCCCTCCCTTTCTGTCTCCATTCCCCTCCCTACTCGCCCCCTCCCTTTCTGTCTCCATTCCCCTCCCAACTCGCCCCCTCCCTTTCTGTCTCCATTCCCCTCCCTACTTGCCCCATCCCTTTACATCTACATCCCCCTCCTAACCTGCCCCCTCCCTTTCTGTCTCCATTCCCCTACCAACTCGCCCCCTCCCTTTCTGTCTCCACTCTCCTCTCAACTCTCCCCCCTCCCTTTTTGTCTCCATTCCCCTACCAACTCGCCCCTCCCTTTCTGTCTCCATTCCCCTCCCAACTCGCCCCCTCCCTTTCTGTCTCCATTCCCCTCCCTACTTGCCCCATCCCTTTACATCTACATCCCCCTCCTAACCTGCCCCCTCCCTTTCTGTCTCCATTCCCCTACCAACTCGCCCCCTCCCTTTCTGTCTGCATTCCCCTCCCGCCTCGCCCCATCCCTTTACATCTACATCCCCCTCCTAACCTGCCCCCTCCCTTTCTGTCTCCATTCCCCTCCCAACTTGCCCCCTCCCTTTCTGTCTCCACTCTCCTCTCAACTCTCCCCCCTCCCTTTCTGTCTCCGTTTCCCTCCCAACTTGCCCCCTCCCTTTCTGTCTCCACTCTCCTCTCAACTCTCCCCCCTCCCTTTTTGTCTCCATTCCCCTACCAACTCGCCCCCTTCCTTTCTGTCTCCATTCCCCTCCCGCCTCGCCCCATCCCTTTACATCTATATCCCCCTCCTAATTTGCCCCCTCCCTTTCTGTCTCCATTCCCCTACCAACTTGCCCCCTCCCTTTCTGTCTCCATTCCCCTCCCAACTCGCCCCCTCCCTTTACATCTATATCCCCCTCCTAACTTGCCCCCTCCCTTTCTGTCTCCATTCCCCTGCCAACTCGCCCCCTCCCTTTCTCTCTTCTAGACTCAAACCTTCCCTGTTTCTATCTATTCCCTTCTTCATCTTCACCACCTACATGAGCACTGCCCCAGAGTGCTGTTGTAGATAAGAAATATGACAAGACATTCATCACTTGAGTAACTATATATGTATACTGTGTTGTTTGGATTCTTGGGATTATTTTTGCATGAAGGTCTTGTACCCACAATTAATCATTGGATTCCTTTTTCTTTCAATCTTTCTTTAATTATGCCCGGGGACCAAGATTTGGGGCATATTGTTTTTGGACTGTCTGTCGTCAAATTTAACCTTGCCCATAACTATTGGTAGGGCTTTTATATGTGGCATGTGTATTCCTTATGACAAGACCTTTTTTTGACCATGTGAGCTTGACCTTTGACCTACAGTTGGGAAACTTAAAACTATTTCACAAAGTATTCATGCAATAAGCATATCCCTTGCATGGTACAGATTTGATGCCCCACTTCAGAATTTTGTTTCAGCCAGGGGCATCATGTTTCATAAACACATCTTGTTTATCATATCATATCATATCTCTTCCTTTTCTCCAGGTGTCTTTTTTCCTTTCTGAATATGTCCAAGTCATTCTAATATGAGGGTTAAAATTTTTTACAGATCAACTTATTTCACATTCATTGTTTTAGAAAAATTGACCAAACACTGTGGAATGAAGGAAAATAACTATACATGCATGATGTTGTATTCCATTGCATTTCTTATGACCTTTCTTTGACATATTTAGTTTAATCCTATTACACAAATATCTTAATGTTATTTCCATTTTACAATAGATTCTTTTAATTATGAGATATTTGAATTAGTACATTTTTGGGATTCTGAATTTCATTTACTACAGTGTTGTATGTGTGTCAATGTTATTTCCTTCAAGAGAATTTTTGTTTTTTTTTTAGTATACTATCAGTAGAGATAGATTAAGTAAATACATTTAAGGCATTTAATTCATACCACAGAAACTAGGTTACTAAGAATTGGCCACCAGTCTTGGTTATCAGGCTAGTGTCCAGGTCATGATGTCAATGTTTGTGACATAGCCTTTAACTTATTTGAACTTGGGTAACAATTGCTTGACCACTGATTTCACTGTCCATTCAGCTCTGATGACCTATGCTGTTTCAAAACACCTCTGGTGACCCCTTCAGCTCTTGATTTCTTTTGACTTATAATGACCTTTAGTTGACCCAAACAAATATGTTGACCTTTGATGAATGTTGCTATTGACTAACCACCTGTGTTGATTAAGTAAATAAACAGTGATGTAAGAATTACATGTGCTGTAGTCTAAATCAGTGCCAGTAAATACCCCAACAACCATTCCATGTCTCTCCAGAGGATGCAGAATGTCAGTTTATTATCAGCCTAGTGTTTCTGTTGCATATTTATACCCTGAATGTCAGACATCACTTTCCATATGGATTCAGATTCCTTTCATACTTGTTGGATACAGTAATGATGTGACCTTTGACCTGTGTTTCAGGTTAGAGGGTCAAAGGTCACATTGGACTGCTAATTTGCATGAGAGTCCTGTTTTGTTTCTTTTTTTTTCATTTTTACTGTTTTATAATTTTGAAAACGTCATCAATCTTACTGTAGGTTTAGTATGAAAGCCTTTGGCAGAGTTCTGGTATCTGGTTAACACTTAATAGGTAATCTAACAGAGACTGCAGATAGTGATTAATGTATCTTATCTTATCTACTAAGCACACCATGTGCTTTCAGAATTACTAATAATGGTTTGCAAAAAAATCCTTTTTACAAACAAAGTTTTTCATATGAAATTCATTAAGGCTTGAAACCTAAGTAGAAGAATTTTAAAGAATAACAGCAGATATGACTCATACTGCATGTGAGGAAAAGAGGTGAAAATTTGTTATCTTTTATTTTTTCTTTGTTTTGGGGGTGTGGTGAGGGGAAGGGGGTTTGGATACTAAAGCTCAATCCTCATGCTCAGAAAAGAGGTTAAGGTGTGCTTATCAGTGCAGGGGTGATAATTAGGTAAGCAAAACCACATGTTTTTTTTCTGTTCAGGCCAGCATAAAGATACTGATCCTATTACATTTCTTATCAGGAAGTTTATTTCCATTAACTAATGGAGAGTCTGAAATATATATTTATTTGTTTATTTATCTATTTATATGTTATTTATTCATTTGATCTTTTAGCAACCTTTATGTATAGATTAATTCAATTTCATTGGAAAAGATTAGGATTATTTTTAGAAATAAAAATATAGCACATGTATATATAATTGTAAATAAAAGAAGTCCAATCTCTTCTAAAGTGAAACATTAAAATAAAGTAAAAAAAACAAAGGAAAAATAATAAAAAGCATATGGTGATCTCCATATTGATTTTTGTTGATTTTAACAAATCATGGTGACTAACATAGCTGACTGTCAGGGTCTCTGTCAATATAGAATTTTACACAGCAAGAATTACAAACAATGTGAGATGAAGTTATGAAGAAATTGCCACCACCTTTGATATTTCTGAGAGATCTGGGAGATCAATTACAAGGTTATCAAAGTACTTATAGAGTGATAACAGGTCACATACAGTGATACAGAATAGACGTGTGGACATGTACAGTATAACAGAAATCAAGAAAATCTTATGTATACACTCTCCTTACATTGCAATTTTAAATGTCATTGCCTCATGAAAGTCATATTTTTTCTTCACTTATTTTAGCTTATACTTAAAAAGAAACCTGTCCTTTATCATCCCCGGCCATCAAAGTTGACGTGGGAATATTCAAATGGGTTCCATCTGTATGTCCTTCGGTCGTTCTGTCCGTCCATCCTTCCATTCATCCTTCTGTCCATCTGGATGTTGCTTTCTGTATGATATCTTTTGAAGGACTGGTCGGATTTTGATGAAACCTGGTTAGCACACTTATTACCTTAATCCCTTGTACAAGTTTGATTAACAGCAAATTCTTCACATATTTAATGAGGCTGCTGTAATCTGATTGGCTGATTTCTTTAATCAATCTCAGATGCTGCTTTCCACATGATATCTTTTGAAGGACTGGTCAGATTTTTAGGAAACCTTGTTGGGCACTTGTTACCTTAATCCCTTGTCAATGTTTGATTAACGGCAAATTCCGTTCATATTAAATGAGGCTGCTGTGACCTGTTTTGCTGATTTCTTTATAACTCTATGGGAAATCTTTCTGCAAATGATCTGATACAGGAATGATAAAAACTTTCTATGCATATTTTATGAGGCTGCTGTGACCTGATTGTCAGATATCTTTATCAGTTTTCCTGGTTGCTCACTAAAAATGCATTTATTTTGCAAATGAACGTGGGTGGCGGATCTTGATGACGTTGTCCTTGTCTATGGTTGTATGGTTTTAGAAAATATACTTTTGATGTTTTTTTATGACATTTTTAGCTCACCTGGCCCAAGGCTTGTCTGTCAACTTTCACTGCATATTGCAACTATTCATGAACAACGAAGTAGATTTTAATCAAATTGGGTCTGAAGCATCCTTAGGGAAAGGTGAACCAATCTATGTAAATTGTTGGCCTTGCCTGCCCAGGGCCCGAGGGGCAGGGCAAAATAGGGAAATTCAATGAATTTTTTAAAAATCTATCTTGTCCTTAGGAATTGCAGGATATTGTCCAAAATTGGTCTGAAGCATGCTTGGGTGAAGAGAAGCCAGGTCTGGTGACACCAAAGGATAGATTATTTCTTTGAAGCCATTGAGATTATCATCCCATAACTTAATAGCATAACTGGACATCAAGAGATTAACAACTGATCTCTGTCCCCACCCCTTGGGAATTTGAAGCTGTATCTGTGGGATGAGGCTCATTAGGAAAATATTTTCCTTCTAAAAAATGTAAAGTTTTGCTATACTGATTTAAATATCCAGGTGAGCAATACAAGCCCTCTGGACCTCTTGTAATTTTATACCTGTTATGCAGAAAATTGTCCACTGACTTCCATTACAAGTCAATTTTTTAGATTGAGTTATCTCCCTTGCCACATTTTGTCAGTTTTATTCACCATATAGCTGAAAGAAAACCTGTATAGACCAGACGTCTGACTCTGTATAAAAGATAAGGAGGGGGATCAGAGTTTAGGAAGGAGGATAGGATCAGTGTTGGAGTTTCTATTTCAGGGAGTGGGTTAGATCAGGGTTGGAGTTTCAGTTTTAGGGAAGAGTTTGGTTAAGTGTTGGGGTTTCATGTTAAGAGAGGGGGATAGGATCAGGGCTTGGGTTTCAGTTTTAGGGAAGGGAATTGATCAGTGTTGGAGTTTAGGGAATGGTTTGTATTAGGGTTGGGTTTCATGTTCGGGGAAGGGTTTGTATTAGGGTTGGGTTTCATGTTCAGGGAAGGGTTTGGATAAGGGTTGGGTTTCATGTTCAGGGAAGGGTTTGTATAAGGGTTGGGTTTCATGTTTGGGGAAGGGTTTGTATAAGGGTTGGGTTTCATGTTCAGGGAAGGGTTTGTATAAGGGTTGGGTTTCATGTTCAGGGAAGGGTTTGTATTAGGGTTGGGTTTCATGTTTGGGGAAGGGTTTGTATTAGGGTTGGGTTTCATGTTCAGGGAAGGGTTTGTATTAGGGTTGGGTTTCATGTTTTGGGAAGAGTTTCTATTAGGGTTTGGTTTCATGTTTGGGGAGGGTTTGTATAAGGGTTGGGTTTCATGTTTGGGGAGGGTTTGTATAAGGGTTGGGTTTCATGTTTGGGGAAGGGTTTGTATAAGGGTTGGGTTTCATGTTCAGGGAAGGGTTTGTATAAGGGTTGGGTTTCATGTTTGGGGAAGGGTTTGTATAAGGGTTGGGTTTCATGTTTTGGGAAGGGTTTGTATAAGGGTTGGGTTTCATGTTTGGGGAAGGGTTTGTATTAGGGTTGGGTTTCATGTTTGGGGAAGGGTTTGTATAAGGGTTGGGTTTCATGTTTGGGGAAGGGTTTGTATAAGGGTTGGGTTTCATGTTTGGGGAAGGGTTTGTATAAGGGTTGGGTTTCATGTTTGGGGAAGAGTTTCTATTAGGGTTTGGTTTCATCTTTGGGGAAGGGTTTGTATAAGGGTTGGGTTTCATGTTTGGGGAAGGGTTTGTATAAGGGTTGGGTTTCATGTTTTGGGAAGAGTTTCTATTAGGGTTTGGTTTCATCTTTGGGGAAGGGTTTGTATTAGGGTTGGGTTTCATGTTTTGGGAAGAGTTTCTATTAGGGTTTGGTTTCATGTTTGGGGAAGGGTTTGTATAAGGGTTGGGTTTCATGTTTTGGGAAGAGTTTCTATTAGGGTTTGGTTTCATCTTTGGGGATGAGTTTCTATTAGGGTTGGGTTTCATGTTTGGGGAAGGGTTTGTATAAGGGTTGGGTTTCATGTTCAGGGAAGGGTTTGTATTATGGTTGGGTTTCATGTTTGGGGAAGGGTTTGTATAAGGGTTGGGTTTCATGTTTTGGGAAGAGTTTGTATTAGGGTTTGGTTTCATGTTTGGGGAAGAGTTTTTATTAGGGTTGGGTTTCATGTTTAGGGAAGGGTTTGTATCAGGAATGGGATTTCATGTTTAGGGAGAGATATGGGATCAATGTTAGGGTTCATGTCTAGTGATGGGAATGGACCAGGGTTGGGGTTAATGTCTAGTGATGGGAATGGACCAGGGTTGGGGTTCATTACTAGTGATGGGAATGGACCAGGGTTGGGGTTCATGTCTAGTGATGGGAATGGATCAGGGTTGGGGTTCATGTCTAGTGATGGGAATGGATCAGGGTTGGGGTTCATGTCTAGTGATGGGAATGGATCAGGGTTGGGGTTCATGTCTAGTGATGGGAATGGATCAGGGTTGGGGTTCATGTCTAGTGATGGGAATGGACCAGGGTTGGGGTTCATGTCTAGTGATGGGAATGGACCAGGGTTGGGGTTCATGTCTAGTGATGGGAATGGACCAGGATTGGGGTTCATTTCTATTGATGGGAATGGATCAGGGTTGGGGTTCATGTCTAGTGATGGGAATGGATCAGGGTTGGGGTTCATGTCTAGTGATGGGAATGGATCAGGGTTGGGGTTCATGTCTAGTGATGGGAATGGACCAGGGTTGGGGTTCATGTCTAGTGATGGGAATGGATCAGGGTTGGGGTTCATGTCTAGTGATGGGAATGGATCAGGGTTGGGGTTCATGTCTAGTGATGGGAATGGACCAGGGTTGGGGTTCATGTCTAGTGATGGGAATGGATCAGGATTGGGGTTCATTTCTATTGATGGGAATGGATCAGGGTTGGGGTTCATGTCTAGTGATGGGAATGGACCAGGGTTGGGGTTCATGTCTAGTGATGGGAATGGATCAGGGTTGGGGTTCATGTCTAGTGATGGGAATGGACCAGGGTTGGGGTTCATGTCTAGTGATGGGAATGGACCAGGGTTGGGGTTCATGTCTAGTGATGGGAATGGACCAGGGTTGGGGTTCATGTTTGAGTGAGGTGGATAGGATCTAGGCTAGGGATTCCAGTTTTAAGGATTTCTATGTATAGGTATGGGTGGTAATGGAGGAGTAATTCCTACTAGTCATCATACCCTATGTAATCTTATTCAATCACAGAAATGAGAGTGGTGGGTGTTATAACTGAATACAACTTGCCAGCCTTCCTGTACGAGTTAGCTCTTTACGAGGTATATATTTGTAGACACTTGTGTATTATATATGTTTTGGCAATTACAGGAAAATTGTTAAGGTAGCATTCATCCTTCAGTTAACTCAGAATATATATATATATATATATATATATATGTATATATAAACCCTAGATTTATGTTTTTTTTATTTCTATGGGAGGGTAAATGTTAAGTAGTGGAATAAAACAGGAGACTGTGTTAGTTTTCAGTAATTTGATTCTTATTTAGATAGACCTGTACAGATAGGTAGATAATTTTATACAAAAGGGTGGGTCTACTTCAGATTACAAGGATGGGATTAATAACCGAGAAAATATATTATCTTTATTGATTTTAAAATATTGAAATGTATTTTTAAAAATCTGATACTGTCATAAGAGATCACACATGATGACATGTTGGTGGCAGTTTTGATAAGGACACATCAGGGTTCTGAGCAATACAAACTAAAACCTGAAGATTCATGTGGTTTGTTTATGAATGAAATACTGAGAGTATTTAATGGAGAAACATGTGTATTCTGGTTATCATCTGCCAAACAGTTCTCCCTTCTCAGGGATTGAAGTCAAACTTCAGATTTGACAGACTGATATAGAAAGTTCCATAACTTTGATAACAACATAATGCAGTCATATTTTCTTAATTAATTTTCTTTCCTCATTTTGATTTGAAAGGAGTGTCCAGGAATCTGTTGCTGATGTCATCACTGGGTCACACTATTCCAGTTTTTTTTTACCTTGTTACAATCTGCCTTCGTGTTTGTCTCCATCTCTGCCTTCTTGTATTTGTAATATATTCTATATTTTCTGTTGGAGTTTCATTTTCAAAGTAACCTTTGTCTGCTTACAAACATCAGGAACACATTTTAAAGATTACTGTGTTGCAATTCTGTGTTATTGTTTCAATCACGGTCACGTTTGTTTTCTTGATTCTAAACATTTAACTTCCAGATTTAGGGTTGGTTTAGTGATCGTATCCAAAGTGTTTACTTAGAAAAAAATAAATACCTGCTCTATTTGTCTGGTATTCCTTGTAGGCTAGGCAGGGTTTTGATTTGAAGGATTGAATGTTGTATAATGGCTTTTGTCCTGCTGGAATAACTAAACCAATGCTAGACTTGAATATTTCCTACAGAGCAGAATTGAGGCTTTGTCTCTCTCTTCAAAATGGACTAAACTTCAATTTGATGCACATTTGCAGGCATTTACCACATGTAAAGATTTATGTTTGACATAACTTCAGGGCATTTACCTCTTAGCCAACTGAACTGGATTCAATCAATCATCACTTGGTTGTAGGTTTTGTTCCAAGAACAGTAAGGTTTTTGTATTTAATTGTTGGGTGGTTTCCATCGATAAAAAGGCAAACATTTAAGATTCTGTTGTTGTCCAGCAGAGAAGGTAATGCCAGCATATGATTAATACTGATCTTGTTTTTAAAGAAGATTGTTCCTATGAAATAGCATCCTGAGATCCAGTATCATTTCTCTGCTGGAAATTAGTGAAATATTTACATTTCTCTGCTTCAGATGTTAAATGGCCTATTTGTGTCAGTGCTGTATTTTGAAAGATATTGGTCTTGTTGATTTCGTTCCAGCTGACTGGTGGAGTGTTTATATGTGCCACTTATAACCTATTGACTTCAGAAAACTTATAATTTTTCAGGACCTGTTGCTAAAGAAACTGTTTCCAGAAACTTTTTCCTTAAATCATTTGACAATCTCAGTATCTACTTATGTTGTTGAAATCTGTTTCAGAACTATAACAAATACCATACTTATCCTCCAGTAAGCCCTCTCCCTAGTGAAAATGTGCAAAAACTTAAGAAGGGGCTTATTTTCAAGCCTATTTGCAGATAGAAATAACAAAATAGAAAATACTGATGAGGAGCTTTTTTGACTTTTAATTTGTTTGCTTAATTGATCACACTGTGATCAGCTAGTGTCATTTTGGGATCGGATCTTTTTGTTGAGTTGATATTGCCTTCACTGATCAACATATGGGAGGCCCATTCTGTGCTATCATTAGGTATATAACGTACACTGTGTTATTTTCTGATGGTTACAATATTTATCTTTACCAGTAGATTTATATCTATTTAGCTGATGTTGATTTCATCTATCAGTTTTTAATCTACTATGTATGTTGCATACTGATATTAAATAGAATGAGGAATGTGCTCTGCCATCAAGAGCCAATATGTCATTAATGATTGTCAGTAGTGAGTTGTTCCTGCCTGAAGGAGACAGAACAGGTTAGAGTTCTGATATAACCATATTATGTAATGTCAGCAGCGATATTTTGTCACTTGGTGACATTGATGTATGAACACTCACCTTAATTTCTTTGTTTTGTATGATTTTTATCAAATATTGATACAGATTACTGCAAATAAGTCTCGCTGTGGATGCTGAAAGCTTTTTTGGTGGAGACTGTAATGACTTGCTTAGAAAATTTACAAAAATCCTGTTGCCCAGGGGAGTAATTGGGTAAAGTGTCATAAAACATACCATTGTGTTGTTCCCCATTCGGAATCAATGTAATTTCTTTAGAACTTTGAAACAGATTTGGTTCATGTTTACCCTATTGTATCGTAATATCAGATTCTACTTAAGGTTTTCATTAGTCACAATTAAAAGTTTAAATGTCACATCTGATGTCTTTTGCAAATCCATCAAACAGTTATACTTACCTGCATTGGAATGGTGTCATTCAGATCATATAGGCATTTTCTAATTTTCTTAATGTGTATCATTTTAGCTCTATTTTTTTTTCTTCACTAGTTTATAATTATTAAAGGAATTATTTTTTATTGGCACCTACCAATCGTCTTGAGCCAAAACATTTGTGATTAAGTTTGATAGATTAAGTCTTTTTGTGCATGGTTTTAGTACATTGCTCTGACCAGTGGCCAGGCAATTTGACCACAGGCTAAAGCCATCATTAAGGTATTTGATTTCTTTTCTATGTTGTGTTGTATTTGAATGGGATTCATATTCTGACTGATCCATCTCACACACAGATACAATAATGAACAGCATCCCTCCCTGGTCTCCACCAGGTATTAAATGGCTGCCAACAAGCCCTCCTGCCCAGACACCTGGTAAAGCCATTTACATGTGCTGGGTGGTTTTTATGCACCAATTTCACAGGAACACAGAGGGAACATTTGACCTAAGGAGGGTCATATGGCCAGCATTGGACAGAAGATACGGTCGATAACCTGGTATAGTGAAGGCACTAATAGAATCCCACTAAATTTCATATGTTTCATATCAAAACTTTCACAGAGTTGAATATCAGGACCCATTTTTGGATAATAGGCAGTTGGTGCTAGAGGTAATTAGGAGAAATCATCTGTCTATTTGCCAACTCTTAGACAGGAGACATTAGTTCCTGTCTGCAAAATAATCTTTCAGCTTCCTTTAATTGATCCTATCAAATAATTGTTTTACATTTGTGAATTGTAGGCTTAATGCCATGACTATTTACAGAGTTATTGGCCTTTCCAAACTTCTTGTGGACAATCAAGTAAGCCAGCAGAATGTAAGTTATTTTTTTCTTCCAGTCAAAAGTATGTTACTTTATTCAATACATGTATTGCAGACTAAAACTTCAACCTGAATAATAAAACATGAAATAGGAACATAATAGAAAACATGAACCAGAATCATAAAACATCAATCAGAACATAAAACATGAACCAGAGTAATAAGACATAAACCAAGAACATGAAACATGAACCAGGAACATAAAACATGAACCAGAGTAATAAAACAAGAACCAGGAACATAAAACATGAACCAGGAACATAATACAAGAACCAGGAACATAAAACATGAACCAGGAACATAAAACATGAACCAGGAACATAAAACATGAACCAGAGTAATAAAACAAGAACCAGGAACATAAAACATGAACCAGGAACATAATACAAGAACCAGGAACATAAAACAAGAACCAGGAACATAAAACATGAACCAGGAACATAATACAAGAACATGAAACATGAACCAGGAACATAAAACATGAACCAGGAACAGAAAACATGAACCAGAGTAATAAAACAAGAACAAGGAACATAAAACATGAACCAGGAACATAATACAAGAACCAGGAACATAAAACAAGAACCAGGAACATAAAACATGAACCAGGAACATAAAACATGAACCAGGAACATAATACAAGAACCAGGAACAAAAAACATGAACCAGAGTAATAAGACATAAACCAGGAACATGAAACATGAACCAGGAACATAAAACATGAACCAGGAACATAATACAAGAACCAAGAACATAAAACATGAACCAGGAACATAAAACATGAACCAGAGTAATAAGACATAAATCAGGAACATGAAACATGAACCAGAGTAATAAGACATAAACCAGGAACATGAAACATGAACCAGGAACATAAAACATGAACCAGAGTAATAAAACAAGAACCAGGAACATAAAACATGACCAGGAACATAAAACATGAACCAGGAACATAATACAAGAACCAGGAACATAAAACATGAACCAGGAACATAATACAAGAACCAGGAACATAATACAATAACCAGGAACATAAAACAAGAACCAGGAACATAAAACATGAACCAGGAACATAATACAAGAACCAGGAACATAAAACAAGAACCAGGAACATAAAACATGAACCAGAGTAATAAAACAAGAACCAGGAACATAAAACATGAACCAGAGTAATAAGACATAAATCAGGAACATGAAACATGAACCAGGAGCATAAAACATGAACCAGAGTAATAAAACATGAACCAGAGTAATAAAACATGAACCAGGAACATAAAACATGAACCAGAGTAATAAGACATGAACCAGGAACATAAAAGATGAACCAGGAACATAATACAAGAACATGAAACATGAACCAGGAACATAAAACATGAACCAGGAACAGAAAACATGAACCAGAGTAATAAAACAAGAACAAGGAACATAAAACATGAACCAGGAACATAATACAAGAACCAGGAACATAAAACAAGAACCAGGAACATAAAACATGAACCAGGAACATAAAACATGAACCAGAGTAATAAGACATAAATCAGGAACATGAAACATGAACCAGGAACATAAAACATGAACCAGGAACATAATACAAGAACCAGGAACAAAAAACATGAACCAGAGTAATAAGACATAAACCAGGAACATGAAACATGAACCAGGAACATAAAACATGAACCAGGAACATAATACAAGAACCAAGAACATAAAACATGAACCAGGAACATAAAACATGAACCAGAGTAATAAGACATAAATCAGGAACATGAAACATGAACCAGAGTAATAAGACATAAACCAGGAACATGAAACATGAACCAGGAACATAAAACATGAACCAGAGTAATAAAACAAGAACCAGGAACATAAAACATGACCAGGAACATAAAACATGAACCAGGAACATAATACAAGAACCAGGAACATAAAACATGAACCAGGAACATAATACAAGAACCAGGAACATAATACAATAACCAGGAACATAAAACAAGAACCAGGAACATAAAACATGAACCAGGAACATAATACAAGAACCAGGAACATAAAACAAGAACCAGGAACTTAAAACATGAACCAGAGTAATAAAACAAGAACCAGGAACATAAAACATGACCAGGAACATAAAACATGAACCAGGAACATAATACAAGAACCAGGAACATAAAACATGAACCAGGAACATAATACAAGAACCAGGAACATAATACAATAACCAGGAACATAAAACAAGAACCAGGAACATAAAACATGAACCAGGAACATAATACAAGAACCAGGAACATAAAACAAGAACCAGGAACATAAAACATGAACCAGAGTAATAAAACAAGAACCAGGAACATAAAACATGAACCAGAGTAATAAGACATAAATCAGGAACATGAAACATGAACCAGGAACATAAAACATGAACCAGAATAATAAAACATGAACCAGAGTAATAAAACATGAACCAGGAACATAAAACATGAACCAGAGTAATAAGACATGAACCAGGAACATAAAAGATGAACCAGGAACATAAAGCATGAACCAGAATAATAAAACATGAACCAGGAACATAAAACAAGAGAGAATAATAAAAAAAACCTCTGTATTTAGAACTGAATTGTTAATTGAACATCAGCATAATGCATTTAAGACAATCTGCCGAAGACATAAATAAATCTTGGATCCAGAACTTAAGGATATTTACCGTAATGGTTACAAATGAGCTGCATGGTTTGTAATGCAATAGTGTTGAGGGAGGAAAACAATTATTTAACAAAATGTCTGACTCATCCAGACAAGATATGGACTACCTGGTAATTTGATATAAAAACATTTTGATGGATGAATCAAAAGTGTTAAATCAACAGTGATGTTAAAGAATGATGTGTCATGTAAACAAATCATTATCTTTCTTCTAATTATTTGTGTTACTCTAGGTTTCTTGGTGTTTGGTTGATTTGTATTTTTAGAAGCAGAGGAGGCTGTATATTGTTTATGTGAAGTTATGTGGTGAATTACGGTAATACCTAGATGTTATCTGTTACTACAGCTGACAGCCCATAGCTTTGTATTATATAGTAGCTTAACAGAATTTCGATTGATTTTCTTTCGACTATAAAGAGGTTACTTTTTTCATATATGTTCTACACTTAGTCTGATCAGAGAGGAAAAAAAACAGAAATTAAAATGGAAGAAAAATCTATATTGTCCACCACATACAAAAAGAAAAACAGGATATTAAAAAAAGGGAAAGTTGTTCTTTCATAGCATTCAAAGTCGAAATCAATCATTCTGATACAGGGAGTACAAAACAATATTAGACATCCTTTATACCATTATAGTATATGGTATTGTGGTGGGGACTGGTGTCTCCTAAGGATTATTCTCAGGCATAGAATTTCAGTAGAATAAAGAAATGGTAAACATCTTTATACATGTGTGTTCAAAATCCATATTTTTGTTTTTGTTTTTGTAGTCGATAGTGCACTGTTTATATAAACCAAATTTCTATTGAAGTCACCGGATTAATTGTGCATACTATGTATTTAATTGTGTTAATTACAATAATTGTGTTCATAACATGGAAGATCAGAACGGTTAAGATAGCCATCTTATGTTAAATGTTTCATACTGCACAGTACAGTGAGTACAGATGAATCAGATTGATGCTGGGTCGTACAAACGTTTTACAACCACCTAACATTGTACCGTTTGGCATGTGTATAAAAGGCCTGATGCCTGCTCATGATTCCGCCACTTGGATTCATGATTTTCACTAAAGATATTGATTTCTGACCCGAGTTTTTACAATTTATGAATGACACCTACGGCAGAATATCAGAGCATCACTGCAATGTGGCGATCGCTCAGGCATGCGGAAACCGCCAATCACCTTGGAGATCGATTTCAATTTCTTGTGTTGTCGTGGATAACTGATCCTGTTTTAAAGTTAACCACTAAATGTTAATGGAATGTTCAAGTTTTCGCTTCCCTTAATTAGATGTGTTTTAAATGTAACAGTTGCTCGCATAGAAATCACTTAAAATGTTGCAGAAAAATAGATTATAAAAGAAATATATTTGAAATACAAAATCCATGTTAAAAATAGCAAATCTGAAATAATAATGTCATCATTTGAAAATAGATTGATATCTGCATATCAGTTAATGTGCAACATAGAATAATCCTTTCACTAAAAGTGAAATCTTTATATTCAGAAAGGTAATTCTGATTAAATTTCCCTAACAAGATTTAATAATAAGTGTTTTAGATAAGATTTTTTGTGTCTTTATAAAAATAATTTCCCATGATTATCATGTAGGTTCAACTAGTTCATTTGAAATTGGGACCAAAAAAAAAATGAAATAATTAAATTTTTTTACATGTTTTTTTAAAAAAAATTTGTGCATGCTCTTTATTCAAATGGTAACATGTTATGTATATTGTTAGTTCAGAGATAGGTCTGTTCTGGTAGCTGATGGGATCATTTTAGGTAGTGGTTGGTTTTAAGTGGGAAATTCACCAAAGGAAGTCTGCAGTGAATATTGAATCCCTAAGGGTAAGAAAATTGTGGATTTGTGCCAGGAATATTGACTGAATACAGAATGTTATAGGTTTAGACATTTAACTTGATCTGGAACCATGGACATCACGACGCCTCTTATTATCACAAACCTGGAGTTTGTCGCAGTGTTGCGGAACTATTTCAGCATCCAAGTAGTGTTCTCAACGACAATATCATTGTCGTGTAAATACCAATAGTTTCAGCAAGTGGGAACCTGTCTGCTGTGGGATTTCACACTGCTGCCAGAGTATAGACTTAGTGGAGGATGAGAAGGGCTACGGAGTAGTGATACTCTTCATCATTTAAATATTAATGGATCCTAAGTCAGCTAACCTGGAAACGTATTATTAGTGAAACGATTTCTGGATGCTGCTTTTTCAGTCCTCATTCCGGCAGATGCAGGTTTTGTACATTATGTCTGTGTACTGGAGTGTTGTGTAGTCGGTGATTAGAGATGGACGGGTGAAGAGACTCAAGGTGTGTGTGTAGCGACTGTGTTGTGTCCATGTGTATCTGTGTGCTGACTGCATCTTCAAAGACACTAACATACCAAATTGTACTATTATTGTGTCGCATAATACTTAGGTCAGCTGATACCATGTACTGTCTCTGTATACCTGGATTAGGCCTATAATTTACAGAGGTAATATTCTGATAGAAATATCTGTCAATGTTATCTGTGAGTGAATATATCTATCTATATATATTCCAGATTAATAGACCATTCATGTTGTCTATCTGATCCGGCTCATGTTATTAGAATGCATGTTTACTTAAATGCAAGTGCATTACAGGAACAGAATTTCTATTGCACATATCTATAAATAGATTGTCATCACAGAACTTGATTATTTGAATCCTGTATTTGTAAGGAAAGCTTGAAAGCTTCGAATGAACATTGACAGAGGAATCTTTGCGTAAACATTGTATCTGACCAGTGATGTTTGTTAGCAAACAAATTAGCACGGGTTTGTGGTCATTGAGATGGGAGATTCTGGAATAATACCATTGGGAATACACTGATGTTGGTACACGTGGTGGATGTGTATGGATAGGAGTACAATCTCTCTTTAAGTACTTCAACATATTGATTTCAGATATGGTGATTAATCAGTACTTCAGAGGTATGCTGTCTACATGGGATTTCTCAGGTAAATTAACTAGGCAGAAGGTCAAGGTATTGTAAACAAATAAACAATGTATATGATATGAGGTGAAGAACTTGAAGCTTTTTACCTGCAACACATATTTACTCTACTTCTGTTTTAAAAAGATTTAAAGCTATGGTTTGGTAATTTGTGCTCAAAGTCTTGTATATTGTGTGTTTGATAAACTTTTGAAGCTTGCACATGTAACTATTATAGGCTGTTTTGATAGCTTATAAAAGTTGTTAAGAAAATGAAATTATAGGGATTTTGTAGAAATTTGAAAACACTTTAAAAATGATTGAAAATAGAAATATTTCATTTAAAAAAGATAGAAATATTTTCTATGAAATGGAATGTTGTGAAGTATTTCCAATTTGCTTTTTAAGCAGATTAAATTTCTTTATTCAACTTTACATATTGAATTCATAGGTAAAGATGTCGGAAGTTGTTGTCATGGAATGCTTAAATTTGAATACTCTTAACACAGACATGAAATTCTATTTTTGGAAAGATTTTCTTCATTTATTTTGCTTGTTGGTATTTAGTTTCTTTATGGCCTAAATTAGCTGGATATATAAACAAAAAGTAAAGTTAAGACAACATGAATTTATTCTCAGTATAGCCTCTGTTTTGTGGTCTTACTCTGACAAACTGCAGTAGACCTATTGTGGGTTGTGATGTTTGGAGTACTTTGGTAAAAAATGTATTAGATTTGATCAGTATTAAGTATGTTTTTCCTCAGATCTGTTGAAGGTATCATAGCTGTCACGATGTTGAAAAGTTTTAGCAAAAATAGCTTTACAAGATCCTGCATAACTACTTTGTTGATTCTGAAAGTTATTTTTGTGCTTTTGCCAAGATGCTTGTTGGAAGGGTTTGAAATATAAGTTTCAGAATTTGTGTGTTTGTTTCATAGCTCAGGCTTAATAGAAAACAGATGAGATTTCAAATCAGAATGGAATTTTCACCTGTATTTGATGGCTTACCTGTAATATCATATGCAAATGATGGACATTTTATTTCATTTTGATAGCTCATTTTTGATAAGACATTGTGTTTAGCTGTTCTACAAAACATGTGCATTGTGAAAGATAGGAGTCCAGTATTAAGAGTGTATGCATACAGTATGTTATTTGTGGTTTCTTTTCTAAAAGAGTTCTTGTGAATAATGTGTACACCATTAATGTTTTACAATTTATCCAATTTATCTCATAACTTGGGTATGGTGTGTCAAATATCATTCAATCTTTAAACATATATTCAGTTAGATGTAAACTCAGATGAAGGTCTGAAGTGCCCGGTTTGATGCTCCCTACCCTGGCTATTTTTGTTTCTCAAGAAACTTAGAAATGGTTTGGTTTGTCCTGATATGGTTGTGTCCTTGTGGAAGACACTTTCCTGTGATTGCTCTGAAAGGCATACACCAGGTTTGCTGTATGATGTTCGGTAAAGTAGTCACAAGCTATTGTAAGGAGACACCTTGCCTAGACACCTTTCCTAACAATAACCCCATTAAGAATTAAACAAGGATGAAGAATGAACCTGTGATCTGTACAGATGACAGGAGTTTTAACTGATAAGTTACACAAATTAGAAAACACATTTTAACTTTAATAACAATGCCAGAGTGAATTACAATCAATTTGAGCTGCTAATTACTTTGAATGCTTTCTTATTTCAAATTTGTTTTTACCAGGATATCAGAAATTTAAGTTTTGCACATTTCATATTTTTGTGTTCAAAGGTCAAGATCAGAGCGTCAAAGGTCATATTTGAACAAATTTGAATCAGATAATGATACATCTATATACATATTTAAAGATTAAATTGTTTGCATTGATTATTGGTATACATATAAACACATTCAAAGTTACAAATTATTGAAGTCAGCATTGTTTTTTTTCCCCAATGGTCAAAGACACAAAGAAAGGTCAAAGGTCAAACCACTTATTGTTTTGATGGTGAATTGATGTTTTGTTTTGGTAATTTTGTTAGTCCAGCTAATGGAACTGGATATAACATTTGTCTAGAAACAGAAGTCAATTGATTGCAAAGAGAAAACCAAATAATGCTTACATTACCGTTGGTCACCGAACTGTAGCGACACCGACAAATCTTTTATGCTGAGATGCACGGAGAGAAATAGATTGGTGTACACAGGTTAAAAGCAAGCTAATAGGATCTCTGTTAGCTGAATATCTATAGTTATACCACATACACTGACAGTGTATACAGTCTTGTGTTTTATCATCTGTTCTAAAGCTTGGATGACTTCATAACAAAACCCACAACACTTCACAATGACAGTTTCATCACAAAAATTTAGAACTCTGTGAAATATTGATAGATTCAGTCTTGTCTGAATGAACTGTTGTTCATATATTTTGTGTATCTGGTAAATTTATTTTGTAGAAATCAATGAGAGTGATTTGTGTGTGAGAGATAGTGTTTCTGGATGATTTACCCCGACAGACATATTATTACAGTTGATTTCAGTGAGAGATTGCTATGATTTAGTTTGTATTTAAATTAATTGAGAGAGATATCAGAGAGGTTAATAAAAATATATGGCTCTATCTTACTTAAATTTAAAAAGTAAAATTTGTATCTTGTATTTATTGTCGGGAACGGACAATTGACAAAATCTGAACATCATTATCTCAGTTCAGTTAAAACTTGCCTTGTGCATACAGTTTTGATTAGAAATCGTTCACTTAGAGCAAGTGAATGCTTCAAAATATGTCTTGGTTCGTAAGTAAAATGTGTGTTTCACCTCAATATTGGATCAATTTATATATTTATGTCAATATTATCATGTGTCATGATTCATCTGGGTCAGTGTTATGTGTTTAATGGGTTAAAACATCCATGTGTCAATATGACAGAGGGTTAAAATGTTAATGTTTTACTGTATCAGTGTGTCAATATGGTATTGAGTCAAAATGTTAATGTTTTACTGCATCAATGTGTCATCAATGTGTCAATATGGTCTTGAGTCAAAATGTTAATGTTTTACTGCATCAATGTGTCAATATGGTCTTGAGTCAAAATGTTAATGTTTTACTGCATCAATGTGTCAATATGGTCTTGAGTCAAAATGTTAATGTTTTACTGCATCAATGTGTCAATAAGGTCTTGTGTCAAAATGTTAATGTTTTACTGCATCAATGTGTCAATATGGTCTTGTGTCAAAATGTTAATGTTTTACTGCATCAATGTGTCAATATGGTCTTGAGTCAAAATGTTAATGTTTTACTGCATCAATGTGTCAATATGGTCTTGAGTCAAAATGTTAATGTTTTACTGCATCAATGTGTCAATATGGTCTTGAGTCAAATGTTAATGGGTTTACACATTAATGTGTCAATATGGTCTTGAGTCAAAATGTTAATGTTTTACTGCATCAATGTGTCAATATGGTCTTGAGTCAAAATGTTAATGTTTTACTGCATCAATGTGTCAATATGGTCTTGAGTCAAATGTTAATGGGTTTACACATTAATGTGTCAATATGGTCTTGAGTCAAAATGTTAATGTTTTACTGCATCAATGTGTCAATATGGTCTTGAGTCAAAATGTTAATGTTTTACTGCATCAATGTGTCAATATGGTCTTGAGTCAAAATGTTAATGTTTTACTGCATCAATGTGTCAATATGGTCTTGAGTCAAAATGTTAATGTTTTACTGCATCAATGTGTCAATATGGTCTTGAGTCAAAATGTTAATGTTTTACACATTGATGTGTCAATAAGGTCTTGAGTCAAATGTTAATGTTTTACTGCATCAATGTGTCAATATGGTCTTGAGTCAAAATGTTAATGTTTTACTGCATCAATGTGTCAATATGGTCTTGTGTCAAAATGTTAATGTTTTACTGCATCAATGTGTCAATATGGTCTTGAGTCAAAATGTTAATGTTTTACTGCATCAATGTGTCAGTATGGTCTTGTGTCAAAATGTTAATGTTTTACTGCATCAATGTGTCAATATGGTCTTGAGTCAAAATGTTAATGTTTTACTGCATCAATGTGTCAATATGGTCTTGAGTCAAAATGTTAATGTTTTACTGCATCAATGTGTCAATATGGTCTTGAGTCAAATGTTAATGGGTTTATACTTTAATGTGTCAATATGGTCTTGAGTCAAAATGTTAATGTTTTACTGCATCAATGTGTCAATATGGTCTTGTGTCAAAATGTTAATGTTTTACTGCATCAATGTGTCAATATGGTCTTGAGTCAAAATGTTAATGTTTTCCTGCATCAATGTGTCAATAAGGTCTTGTGTCAAAATGTTAATGTTTTACTGCATCAATGTGTCAATATGGTCTTGAGTCAAAATGTTAATGTTTTACTGCATCAATGTGTCAATATGGTCTTGAGTCAAATGTTAATGGGTTTACACATTGATGTGTCAATATGGTCTTGAGTCAAATGTTAATGTTTTACTGCATCAATGTGTCAATATGGTCTTGAGTCAAATGTTAATGGGTTTACACATTGATGTGTCAATATGGTCTTGAGTCAAAATGTTAATGTTTTACTGCATCAATGTGTCAATATGGTCTTGAGTCAAAATGTTAATGTTTTACTGCATCAATGTGTCAATATGGTCTTGAGTCAAAATGTTAATGTTTTACTGCATCAATGTGTCAATATGGTCTCAAAATGTTAATGTCAATGTGTCAAATGTTCAAAAATGCATTAATGTGTCAATATGGTCTTGAGTCAAAATGTTAATGTTTTACTGCATTAATGTGTCAATAAGGTCTTGTGTCAAAATGTTAATGTTTTACTGCATCAATGTGTCAATATGGTCTTGAGTCAAAATGTTAATGTTTTACTGCATCAATGTGTCAATATGGTCTTGAGTCAAATGTTAATGGGTTTACACATTGATCAATATTGTATGTTTATAGGTTAATGTGGTATATCTATGTACAAACATGATAGAGAGTCAGTATATACATGGATGAATGGCAGTACTTGAGGATGTTCAGGAT